ATTAAATAAAGGTGTTCTAACAAAACTAAAAATAAAGAACTTTAAATAAGGGTTGTCAAGCTAGTTTGTTAGTTTTTGTTTTGTTAGTTGGCTAGTTTTTCGACATTTTAGCCGAATTCTTTCAACGCCATTCGAAAGAGAAGCAAAAGATATACCTACAGATTTAATTTGAACACAAAGTAGTGTAATATAAATTAATTATAGAAAAAGAAAGGTAATTGCGGAAAAAATGCCAAATACCAATTTAATGTCATGATTTTAATTTTTATTTTTTAGCATTTATTGACTGGGATCGTAGCTCAAGAGGGACCCATTCACAATCTTAAAAACCAAAATCTAAATCTAGTAAAAAAATTTATTAAATCCAATAAAACCAAAACCAACAGAACCAGAAGCCCCGAACAAGTGGCTCTTCCCCCGCTCGTTATCAGTGTCAGAATCGATGGTCCATAAAAAACAAATGGGATGTTGAGCGCTGCGGGACGCGACTCCAGGGGCAAGACCGTTCGTTCCGGTACCCCCGTCACCTGAAGGCTGGCCCTAATTTTGGGCACGGATCAATGGGCCAACGAGTGGCCAACACCCATGCGAGGGGCAAATAAGCCCGGTCACTCCTCTCCTCCCCGCGCGTCCAACCAGGCGTCCAACCGGATTTATGCATTTTTAAGCGCTATTACTGGGTCACGGAAATTCGGGTAGAAGGCTGGAATATCGGGCTTGAGTTCCTGCATATTCAATCCGAAATGTTCGTTGTTCCGTGGATTTTACCGGAATGGTACTGGGCTGTTAGCGGGGGGGTGTTAGAGGGGGAAACTAATTTTCCCATTAATCCGATACGGTCCTATAACAAAACATAAACCTTTTTCTGACATTTTACCCCGTTTAGGTTCATAAAAATCGAAAACCTTTGACGTTTTGGCCAAAATCTATGAAAAATTATCTAAAAAGGGCGAATTTGGAATTTTCAAAAATGTGTAAATAATTTTTGTAACTTTTTAGCGATGTTAAGCTATTAAAAGCGTTATAAAAATTCACTATTTATAATTAATACGTAATAGACGGAAAAGCAAACATTTGTTCCTCCCCCCCGCTAACAGACCAATATCGCCTAAATAATGTGAGTTTCTGCTCGTTCTCAATACAAATAAAAATGACTCTAGCCTGAACCTCCGCAAATTGATGCGTCACCGATAAACATGGCATGCTAAGCGGAAAAGGAACAAAAAAGGAACATGCGCACCCACCGTTGGCATGCGAAACACCTCCCCCACTCCTCTTGGAGAACGATGGGTGGACGGTGGTTTCTCTACCCGAAAAACGCACGAAAACACGCTCTTTGTCAAATGGGAACGGGCCTGGGAAAACGTCGCTTCGGGTTTTTTTCGGGGGCATGGGAGCCGGGATCAGCTCCCCGAAATCCCCGGGATTAACAGCTCGATTTGCAGGGGAACAGCATAGAATTGAAAAAACCATGCAAAACACTTGGCAACACGCCAGCATAACGGAAATTGCCGGAATATTTGCATGGGGGGTGGGTTGGCAACAGATCTGGGAGGGCATGAAGCCATGCGCGATGAGGGCAGGCACAGGGAGGCCCCTCTCAAGAAGCGGGACACAACGGGGTGTCCGTGTCGTGGAGTGATCCGGACACATCCCTCTATCTACACCCATGACATCTATCCGACCCCCACCATAGCAACGTCACATCAACGCCCTGTGGCAGATATGGCAGTAACAGCGATCAGTGATGGGTTTGAGCACTAAATCCAAAATGGTTCTTTCGCATTATCGGGGGGAACAAACTGGTATAAAGGTTACGTCATTAGGTGTAAAATGTCCCCTGAAATGAGTCGACTTGCCAGACTCTTTTAAAGTTATAGTTTCGATTTTAAACTAAGTTTTAGTTAAAAATTGCATCAAATTAAACATAGCATTCGCCGGTTAATTTGGGTAGTAAAATGAAAGATATCTATAGCTTTTTTGTATTTTTCGAATAAAATGAGAGTTTTCATTAGATTGGTCATGCCGATTATATATTATCAAGACCGCGACGGGACCAGGATATAAAAACGACAGCATAAAAAATAATAGAAATATGGAAAATCCTAGGACGTGCATGAAACTGAAAATTCCTGCCCTGGGGGGGCGCCAAAAGCTTTGCACTTTGCTCTCGAGTTCAGAAAACAAACAGAGGACTTCAAACGGTGTAGATGTATCCGGGGTGTTTAAAGGACTTGGGAAGGCAAGAACTTCGAGAAATTGAAAAAATAGCCTATTCAAAATATTTAGATCTTCTGGATTATATGTATTAGGAAAGGTAAGCCAGGAAGAGCCATAAGCTTAGCTCAAAAACCTCACAAAAAATTCAAACGCCCAAAAAGCCATGCCCACTACAACAATTCTGAGCCACCCGTCCGTAACCGCTAAATGCAAATGAGTTTGAGGGTGAAACGGGGGGATAAGAGAGGCAGGAGGGGGGAAGCCATCCCTAGCCGGACCCATTTCAAATGTGGCGCCAAGGGGACACTCACAGGTGCCTTTCTTTCTGTCTTTCCCTGGTTTTTCACTACCCATCCGCCCCACCGTTTCCCAATCACAAAATGCCCCAGATTTTACGGGGGGCCTGGGGGTGGCGAGCAGATTGCTATCAGGTGGCTGGTAGCAAGTTGGACTGACTGGCTAATAGCCAGGTGGCTACCCTAGAAGGGGTGGGGAAGAGAGAGAGAGAGAGAGAGAGAGAGAGAGAGAGTGAGAGTGAGGTAGCGAGAGAGAGAGAGAGAGAGAGAGAGAGAGAGAGAAAGAGAGAGCGACGGCAGATATTGGTCTAGTTGTGAAATTCTTAAAGGAACTAGGAAGTAAAAATTCGCGTATTCGGGGATCGAACCCATTAGTTGAAGCCCATTTTTTTTAAAACGCATTTTCTTTTGTTTTTGAAACTCAGGTTTATCTTGAGTTTCAGAAAAGGCCCGATTGGGCTTCTTAGGTCGCAGAGAAGCGATGCCGCGTAGCTGGAAAAAATTTAGCACCTAGAAAATGATAAATAAATTTTTAGTACAGCTGATAGTATGCGACTGGCCACGTATTAATAGAAGCGGGTGGATCAAATGTATTATCAGCGAATCAGACCCATTAAATTAGCCATTAAAATAATTGTTAAGCTATAACAAACCATCACTGGAACACGAAATGCTAAGAAATAAAGCCCTATAAGATCCGGCGATTGTTCCGCCCCAAGCAGCGCTGTTTAATAATGCGCAAAGCCCCCCAGCCAAGAGGAAGTACAAGACGGGTCACTAATCAACCCCACCCTCCAACGGGTTAAAGAGACAAGAGGAGACACAGGTCTATGATGCCAGCTAGTAGCTTAGGGGGGATAAGCCTAGCCGCGACCACCGATCCATCCCCTTCTCTTAGCCTTGTGTGTAAAGAAATCCACGCCTGCCACATGCCACACGCGGGCCAAGAAGCCAAGAAGGGAGGACCAAGAACGCCTAGCCCTTGCTGCTGACCAACACTCGTCGTTACGAGGCGAGGGTGGCCTGGAAAATGTGGCTAGGATTTCAAAAAGTTGAGGGCTAGGTGGTCCTTGTAAAACTTAAAATTTGGGAATTTAAGAGTTTTGGAGTTCTTTAAGCCATTGAGTTTCTACTTAAAAGTTTAAGGTTTGTGAAATATCCTATTTCTAGAACGTTCTAGTTTATTTTAATGATTCAGTGGTTCAACTAGAGTCACGATTACTCATGATTTCTGATTTTGAATTACCGCGTAATTACTGTTACTTAATACAGCGTCAAATAATCTACTAATTGATTTAAGAAAATTTAAGAAGAAGAATAAATTTCAGCCCGAAAAATAGTAACGTAGAAGTTTTATAGCATAAAAACTATGGGCACCACATAAAAAACGGGGGAAATCGATTTTCGACATTTTCTTATGTGACTTTTCCATATTTTGAAAATTCCATTCGATAAACGGTCGAAAAATATATTAGAAGGTGTTTTTATAGCCGGAAAAAACACAGTGAAAACTATATTTATTAGGAAAAATTTCAATGCCACGCGTTATTTTTTAAAAAGTTTGGCGTGATGAAAAGAAAATTATATAAAAATCGGCGGTACAAAAGTCGGCGAAATTAACATAAATGTAAAACCGCTTCAAAATTCAGGGACTGGCGGCGCTGAAAAATTCGGAAAACTAGATGCCAGAGGAATCATTTTCTTCTTCCATAACCCTTTAAACTTGATGAAAATGTCGAGACGCTCGCCAGCAATGACTTTCGATTTCCCGGCCCCTCCCTCCCCCCCCCCCTCCCCCACACAACCCATTTCGCATGCGCGCACTTATATACGAATTGGCATGTCAGGACAGGGGGCACGACTATCCACGCCTGTCATCAAAATCAAATGTGCTGCATAGCACCGCCCAGATAACGACGTGAAACTTTCGCCGGTCAGGCTTTTGCAGTGCATCATCTCGAACGTCTGCACCAGAAAATAAATTTATACTCGTCCGATCTCTAATTTTGCATCCAAAATTTACAGCACATTTCAAAAATCTGTAAAAGCATGGCAGCAGTACGCAAAGCACAAAGGGGCCAAGGCAAATGTACGCAAAAAAGCACGATACAGGCGAAATCACAACGTTGACCAATTATTTGAACATACACAAGTTTTGGGTAAAGGTTGCTTAACGGGGGGGAGGCAAAAGTAACGAAGATGCAAGCTATTTTAGAAACGCCATCGGATAGAGCGTCAAAAAATATAATAAGATACTTAATCTCGGCCCGAAAAGCCTTCTTTAAAACTGTTTTTAATTAATTAAATTTTGGCTTGATAAAGTAATTTTAAATAATGGTATTTCCGGTAATATTTCCGCTATTTTAATGGTGATTTCCGATGATCCCTTACACCTCGATGACGATGACTAATGGTACAGCCCCCCGTTAAGCAACCTTCACCCAATTTTCGAACTGACTAGGCCCGCGCGGAATAAAATCATCAGTTGCAATAAATAAATGTGTTAATATCGAGTGTGGAGCGCTCAATGTGCTTGTTTTCCATCAGCCACTCGAGCTGCTCTTTCATTAGCTGCCGTGACGGGAGGAACATATGGCTAAAAAGAATACAAAACAAATGTATTGATCTATACCGTAGCTGCTCGACGAGCTCTGCGTGTAGTTGCCAAGCGGTCATTTGCTTCCGCATTTTCAGCACCTAAAAAGAGTTCATGAAAGTCTGCGGTTACGGTACGTACCTTGACGATAGCTTCTTGCACTCGTAGCGCACGTAGTGCAACGATATCCTCGTGCTCTGAAGAGGCCGCAGCGTCTAATCCGAGTTGCAACCTCCCAATCAAATTGACTCGTCTGCCACGTAGTGGTTTTCCGTTCTAAAAACATTATGTATTAATTTGGGATTGATTTTCCTACCTTTTCCGGAACGAATTGGGTATTCAAATAGAAAATTGTCGAATCAGAGAGCGCATTCAGGGCAGACGGACCGCCTGCGCACTTCAGAAGTTGTGAATCGGCTTTGGGTGGCATCGGACAGAGCGACTGAAATATTTAGGATACGGTTTTTTATTTAGTCTTTATTTTATTGATTTTTGTCTACTTGCACTATATTTAAGCATACCAGCAAAGTACGCGTCAATTCAGAATCCGGTAGCTCAGTTGCGAGACGAATCGTCTCGAAAGAAAGCCCCTCATCGGGCTTGTCAAGCCAACAGAAAAGTACGGTCAACTAAAAGGGTTTGGCAACAGTTGGAAGTCTTACCTGGAAGGTGGTCAACTGGATTTCATAGCGTCCCGCATCAGAATTGAAGATAACCTACAAAAATTCGAAAACGAGCTTACGTCAAAACTCATTACCGTGCCATTACTCCAATGATGAAGCCATTGCAGCTTCCGCCCGGAATGATTTCTTTTATAGAAATCCTCCACAACCGGCAAATACTCCTCCAATTGACGCGGTATCGTAATTTTGACGCAATCCGTCTGGTGTGGACCCTGGCTCCAGGCCGCCGTATTCAGTATTTTAATCGAGACGAGATCTAAAGGACACTTTTTGGTTTACTAAGAATTTTACCGTTAATTTGACTGCCAAGCGGGCTACTTGTCTCCCACAAGTACTTCCTAAACGCCTGGTTGAGATCTTTATTCAGCTCCACATCGGCTAGCATACGGAATAATTTGTTGACATGATCGGATGGCATGCCATTTTCCTAAAAACAATCTTTATTTAAAATGACTTAATTTAAATTTGATTTAAAATTGATTCTTTTGATTTTTTTATTACTTACCCGAAGTCGCGCAACAACAGTTTCCTCCTTGTCTTGATCGGCACTCATATCTAGTATCAGGCGGCGGGCCAGATGGGCCTTGTGATATCGCATGAAGATGTCCTTGTTTTGCACATATTTTAACACAAGCATCTGAATCAATAAAATCTAGATTGAATGCAAAACATACCACATTGTCAAGACGAGCGTCAATTTCTTCCCCGGATAACCTCTTGCTCAATGGGGTTTTGCGGAGGAGGAGGTCACAATAGTTTGCAAGCAACTCGGGGCATTTTGATTCGGCAGTGGCTTTGCTGAAATTATTTATGGTATTTTACAAATTACGGATTACGGTAATTTGTATTACTTATGTTTTTGTTTTGTATTACTTATGTTTGTTTTTGTTTTACTGTATTTCCTTTCCTTCTTTATTTGATCAATAATTACCGTACGCTCGGGCTACGGTACTTTCAAAACAACGAAATTTTGCACGACAGTAACCTACCCTTTTCGCACATGAGGGAACTCCAGTTTGAAAATGGTAGCATCGTTGACGACCTCACAAAAAGCCTGATCTCGCGCTGTCAACACCCGAGCATCATCATAGAAACCCTCTCTATACAAAAATAAATAATCATAATTTAACTTAAACTCTACCTAATCAAAGAGGAAAACCCGTCAAACATGTCAAGAAGTTGAAATACGAATCTCTCAGGGTCCTAAAAGTTGGTTATATAATTTATTAATAAACACAAACCGTCGTAATTGAAGATGCGTTGTTTAGCATCGTCTGCGTACCACGCTCCCGAATATGAGCGTCAACACATTTGAGCACCGTATTTATACCCGTGGGCGTTCTCTTGATCAAGCGATACAGCATACGAAGGCCTTTAAAATAATGTAAGTAAGTATATTTTGTATGCTTACGTTCAACGTCTTCGCTCTTTACCAGTTTCTCACATTCCGAAAGGAGTTGCTCCTCAAATTCGGCCACCAGCACCTTTACGCATGCCGCGACCAGCTAAAAAGGGGTTGTAAATCACTAAACTTAAATAACATTAACCTATATAACTTTTACAACTTGTTAAGCTTATATAAAATTAACTTATATAATTTTTACCTTTTGTTTACTAGACTGATCCAAATAACGATCGGCACGAGATTCCTCTTCTTGCAACTTCTCATCAGCGTATGCCATGTAGTTGCGCACCCCATTATGATCGAGAAACTGCAGAAAATTTTACCCAAATGTTATAGACTTACATAGCTAGCTGCCAGTTTATACCACAAAACTGTCCGATTGAGGTAACAGCTCTCATACTCATTACGGTAGCATTCGAGAGGGTCATTTTCTGAGGCATTCAGTGATACTAAAACGAGGATTGCTATTTAAAGTTTGTTCTATACCGAAACTCTCGCGAACGCCAACGATGAGCTGTGGATCGACTGTGAAGCCCTTGCGTTCGGCATCGATCAAATTCATGGCTTCGTTCAGGAGACGTAGTTGGATGGGGGCGAAGACGTAGCGATTCCAGACCCTCAGCATTGTTCCCTTGACGGATATGTCTCGAGGTGTAGTGGGAAGTGGAGGGATGGCGCTAAATAGGTAATTTTATCGGTATGTAATGGGGAAACTTACTTATGAGCAGCTCCATCACGTGTTCCTTCCAATGACTGAAAATTAAATTGTTGAGCTTTGATTTTTCGTTCGGCATTTCGCAGATTTTTATTTTTTTATTTTATATCGACTAATTACGATTTGTACTTACTTAAGGTCAAATGGAAATTATGCCTGCCCTTGAAAGATTAACTACCTACCCGGAACGGCATCGGAAGAATATGTGTCTGCTTGAAATAACGTGTCCATTCCCGAATATATGCCGGAAGCAGATCCTTGTCTTTCGTATCGGCGTTTACGCGCTGGAACTCAAAAATCCCCCCGACAATACAAATTCAAACCTGTGCGCATTCTTTCACATACACCTTGACGTCTTCCAGAAGCGCTTTACGGATCTAAAAAGGTTTAGATAAGGTGGAATATTACATTTTTAAGGCATGTATCGCTAGTATATGAATGAAACCTACCATATCATCACCGTCGTCTAACCAGGAATGCAGGTAGTAGACCGTTTGGAACATCACCTGCCAGTCGGTCTTTGACACGGCCTAGGCGGAAACGTGAATTCACTAGAGATTTATACTTACGCGCTGATACAGCAAATCCAGCACGACCCTGTGGACTTCCGGCCATTGTTCTTCGAAAGATTTTTGTCCCTGAAAAAAATTAATTTTTTTCTGTTTATAAAAGTTATAAATAATTCGACATATAAAATTTCGCGATTCAGAAAAACCAACCAGATTAGATCCGTTCATCTCCAGCTGGTGTCCAGCGACGAGACGACACCGTCCCACCGCAAGTCCTCGACCCCGTCTGCTGCTTCCTCCTGATGAAGCCAGCACTGCGCGAAACGAATTCTTCTTGCCAGCCACTTCGACCGATCGAGGACCTTGTGCGAAGAGGTCCCCAGCCGATCCCCGTCTATTCTTGGGCGTGTCAGTTTGGCGAGCTAAATTTTATTTTTGAATTCGAACTTGACTCAAGAACATATAGAAATGGGGAAAACAGCAGAACAAATTTTTGGGGAGAATAAGGAAAAAGACATGAAAAATTACGGTAGAAACACCCGATCTTAATCAAACTTTTAGACCTAGAACAAACGTTAAAACAACAAAAAAAATTGGTAAAACGTTAATAAGCCTCTTTTAAGGATCCAAAATACCTTGATAAGATCGGGTGTTTCTGCTGCATAACGGGTTTCAGGGGAGATCACAACGTGGAAAAGTAACAACTGGGTCAATAAAAACTATCAATATCCCCTAGAAGCAATAGTTTTCTCAAGGTATTGCAGCTTCCGCTTCACCTCTCCATCCTGGAAATTCGGCATATCGTAGTACTGGGGCGCGATTGATAGTAGCCATTCGGGCTTGATGTCCGTCACCGTACGGATGAAGTTCTTGGTGGTGAGCACAAACTCATTGTAGAGGGCCCATTCCGGCTTGTGATCAAGGACCGAGGAGGGATGAAGATTGACGATCTGATTGTCCTTCACAGTCACATAATGACCATTCCTCTCCAAATGAGCGACCTGCATGAAAAAGCCGGCCACCAGGGCTTTTCGAATATTCACGTAGTAGTCCTTGCTCTTGAAATCCGTACTGATGCGTCGCAGATTGAATTTGTCCATAATCCTTGCTAATTGTTGACGTACATTGTCGGCATTTTTCATCGTTCTGTAGTTGATAAAGTTTTCATAACACCATTGTGTTTCGTCGCGATTCTGCTTGAATGCGTGGTAGACATTCAGTAGAGTCAAGTGATCTCCGTCAACATGAGCGAAGCGTGCTTTCGCTTCATCTGCTTCTTTACGGGCCTCGCTTGGTCGAACAAAGCACTGTGGCACGGAAAGCATAGCCACAATTGAGAGGATTTCGTTGCTGCAGCACAGTTCCGTGCTTGTGATTAGCATCTTGGCCAGCTGTGGATCAAGTGGGAATTCGGCCATTAATGATCCAAGTTCCGTCAAATCTCCTTCATCATTGATTGCAGCTAGATAGTTCAACAATTCGAGCGCACGCATCAAAGTTTCTGGTGCCGGCGGGTCCATGAAGTCAAAATGGACAAGATCTTCAATGCCAAGCTTTTTCAGCTGCAGCACAACTGATCCCAGATTCGAACGGAGGATTTCTGGGTAAGTTTGTTCCTGCATATCTTCATTGTAGGCTTTCTCCGTATAAAGACGGAAGCACTTTCCTGGTCTCGTACGACCGGCACGACCAGCTCGCTGCATAGCAGAAGCCTTTGAAATTGGGCAGACGAGCAGTGACTCGACTCGAATACGCGGATTGTATACTTTCTGCTTCGCGAAACCCGGATCAATCACGAAAACGACTCCATCGATTGTCAGAGACGTTTCAGCGATATTTGTCGAGATAACGCACTTACGTCCAATGGCTCCATTTGGTTTTTTCGGAGGTGCCGGCTCGAAAATCTTTTGTTGCATGGCTGGCGGCAGCGACGAATACAACGGAATGCATTTCATTTCTCCGACGTCTGGGCCGAGGTTGTCGATTTGAGTCTTGATCCTTCGACAGGCTTCTTCAATTTCTTCCTGACCGGTGAGGAAGAGCAAAACGTCTCCTTCAATCTCCTCACAGATATGGATCTGTACAACAGTGCGGATAGCTGCCTCAAGGTAATCCTTTTCCGGTTCTGGGGTGAAGAAGATTTCGACCGGGAATGTGCGACCGGGTACCGACATTAATGGGCAATTGTCAAAATAGGTCTGGAATTTGCCAGCGTCCAAAGTGGCAGACATAATAACGACTTTAATGTCTTTCCTTTGCTTGACAATTTCTTTAATGAGACCCATTAGGATATCAGTGGCCAATGTCCTTTCGTGAGCTTCGTCAAGGATTAGGACCGAATAGTTTTCGAGTAATGGGCAATTCATGGCCTCTCGAAGCAACATACCATCAGTGCAATACTTCAGGATTGTCCGCTCACTGATGCAATCTTCAAAACGAATAGAGTAACCGACTTCTTGTCCGATCTGCACATCCAATTCATCAGCGACACGCGTGGCAACGGACATGGCAGCCACTCGCCGAGGTTGTGTACAAGCGACAAGGCTCCTTTTGCCGGGGATCGCATGTTTTCTAGCATATTCTAGGCACCATTGAGGGATTTGGGTCGTTTTCCCGGAACCAGTCTCTCCGACAAGTGTCAGACATTGGTTGTTGTGCAACGTTTCAAGGAACGCTTCTTTGTATTCAAAAACAGGTAGCTTACAGCGCTTCTCGTAGATGTCCCAGTACCGTTTCGAGAGTGGTTGATTGTTCAGCGGGTTCATGGCAGCACGGGCAGGCTTCTGATCGACAGGCTCACGCTTCGGGGATCGGGATCTCGACCTCCTCTTCAAAGGAGAACGAGACCTTCTCCTTTCCTTTCGATCCCTGGAATGGTCACGACGACGATCCCGTCCGCTTCCATCGTGATCAATACGGTGGCGAGACGACATCTGAAATGGTTGGGTATTTTTGAGAATTGGTGGTTAATAATAGGGGAATTGCAAAAAATGATGGGGGGAATGTGTGGGCTTTCGAGTTTGAGGTAAGGGTGGCGGGTCGGAGGGTGATGGTTATATGCGTCTCGGGAAAAACACCGCTACGATCCATCTGTCGCCATTCTGCACTAGAGGCAAACAAGGCAGATGTCAGTTGGATATTGGTATTGGAAATTAAAGATTAAAAAATGCACTATTGGAAAACCGATCTTTCAAAATTTGGCATTGATGATTCAAATCTTAGACAAAAGCTAATGACAGTCAAAATGTTTGATTTAAATATAGCAAAAATAAATTGAGGTTACTGTAGTTTTAAACGTGAGGATTTGTTAAAACTTTTATGAAAAAGAGGATCCCCGGAAATCCATATAAATTATTTAAAAGGTGGTATCAAGTTAATTCCAAAGTTAATCTTAAATTTAATTCTTCTTAAATTTAATGTTATAGTTGATTTTATCAATATCCGGAATAGTGGTACTGGTTCATTAGCGGGGGGGGTCATTTTTTGCCAAGAGCTTCTCTTATCTTAAGTTACATTATTTTCAGTTGTGTATAAAACTCTTCGTTTATTTTTTGATCATTTACGTTAACAGAATGCCAAGAAATATCGCAAATCCGGAAAGTAGCTTACCGACCCCATTCCCAGGGAAATTTTTGCTTTTGTTATAACTTTCTTGAGTGATTGGATCTAGAACTAAGTGTTTTAGTATGTTTTTTGATGCTCTACCGTGATGTAGTCCCCAAAAAAAGTGAGAGATTGAATATCTACAACATGAACCCCCCCGATAACGAACCAGATCCGGAATATTTGGCTAGTAGCCATTCCCAACCCCTCAACCTTACCCTTTCACCGAGTTCGATCGACTGCAACTTGGCTCGGTCACGGGGTCACATTCACTTAGCTCATTTAACCAAGGTCCATTTCACGGATGATTGAACCGCGAATATTTTCCTGACACGGATCTTTCAAGCGCTCTACATTGAGGATTCCTCGGCGAGAATGTCCTTTCTTTTCCAAAACGCTTGTCGAGATTTGCGGGTAGATCTGGGGACGAATTCAACGTGTAGCGGATGGAGGGAAGGGAGTCAGGGTGGGCTATCGCTTTCTGGCATCGGGTCACCGAAAAAGGCTGGAGGAGGCGGCTGAAAAACGACGGTTATCCGGTGGGAATGCGAAAGCGGTGGCTACCATTCCTGGAGACCACTGTCCGGCACTGTTGCTTGCTCCTTCAAATTCTATACTATGTAGATGGTAATCGTTTAAAAGGGTTTTTTAGGTGATGCGCCATATTTTTGGGCTTCTTGTTGTCCTCTATATTACCAAGGCTATTAACGCATGAACAAGAATCAGATACTTTCTAAGCATCGCTAGTTTGTATTTTTAAGCGGACTGTCACCTAAAACTTTCCCACTCCTTCCTATACCATGTTCATCTCCTCATTTCGTTCAGTACTTATGAGGAACCCGAAAAGGGCGCTGAGGCGCACTGTCGCAGTGTTTTTTTTAGAAGTGTCGCCCTAAATTTGGAATTGACGCACGAAGAGTGAGAGTGCTTTCCCCTCACCGACCTCCCGGAAACCAAATTTTGAGCTCTATTGTTTGCAGAAATCGTTTATTTGCGGAAAGACTTCAGGTTTTTATTCATTTATTCTTAATCATAGTTTTTTATGTGTGGGACGCCTCCGATTTTCTGTTTTTAACATCTTGCCTGTTTCAACTATTTCCTCTTAATTCAAGGGAAATCCGAGGTTCTAGTCTGTTTGCAGGGGGGGATAATTTTGGTTTTTCCGCTTATACCAACTTGTTGATAATAACTACTGTATTTTTATAAAGTTTCTAGTAGTTTTTGATTGCCAGAAAGTCACAAAAATATTTTAAATGATTAAATGAATGCGAAAATTTTGATTTTTTGGTTCTTTTCATACATGTTTGATCATTGTACGTTTTTTGCCGGATTTTTATGTCTAAAAACTGTGTAAAATCCTATAAAAATAGTGAGATTCGGTTATAGGAACTGGGAAAAATTAGTTCTCCTTTCTAACAGCCCAGTACAAAATCCGGTTCTCGCTCTGGAAGATCAAAAAATGAAAGCGAAATTCATAGAAACATTAAAGTTTTTCTTGCAAATTAATCAAATTAGAAAGTTGCCACAAAACCTGATTGCGGGCAATCTGAGCTCGATCATAAACAGACTGAGGGTCAATTTGACCCGAATCGAGCTCGAGGGGATTTCGAGCATCCAAATCGGCCGATGATAGGTGGCCATAAAAAGGGCACACCCGGGGGTTTTTGTGGAGAGGAGAGGCTTCCTCACCACAATCCTCTGACCGAGAGCCGGGCTCTTTTCCAGCCCCGTTTAGCCCGAGGCACTTTGCATTGAAGACTGTAATGGGCTCTGGTCCCACATGAGAGCCTTTCACCCAATTCGGTGTTTTTGGGAACTTGTGGAGTTTGGAATTTGCGGTGGTTCAGGCTTACTTTCATTCTTTAATGCATTTCTTGTCCTTTAGCTGCTAATCATAGTACATAGAAAAATAGAGTTTTTATCTCTCACTTCTCACTTCCGTGAGCTTGAACCTGCCAGATCTTCATAAGGAAAAATTTTAAGCTATATTTACATATCCTACGTCATTAGGTGCGTAATGTTCTCGAAATACTGTATACCTATGGAATTTTATGTAAACTTATATTTTGGACACTAAATGTAAATTTTTATGAAAATCTTGATCCCCTCTGGTACTGGACTGTTAGCGGGGGGTAGTAGAGAGAGAATTAATTTGTCCCATTTATCCTGGACGGTCTTATGGCAAAATATAAATGATGTCCTTTTTACATAGAAAAAGCTAAAACAGTCATAAAAATTTTCGCTTTTTAAAAAATTTAAAACTTTTCTTGTAGGTTTCTACCAATCAAGGATTACTAAAAACAGTATTAAAACGCCATTTCTGATGTATTTACAAGTATATAGACAAAAAAAAAGCAAAAATTAGTTTCCCCTGCTAATCCTTCCCCGCTAACAGTCCAACTCCAACTCACCAACCAAAAAAACCCTACGGTACTCGGGAAAACCATCCAAAATCAACGCTATCATGAGTCCCAGGCTTAACCGGTTTTTTAATTCAATTCTGATCTCCCCTAAACAACTGTATCAACAGAATCCCGGACCCTTCCCACAATTCCCAATCGAGAGGGCACAAGATACGGGTTTTTTTCCATGTCATTCAACTCCCACAGCTGGACCCCCCTGATCGCACCCGGACACACAGTGTGCTTTTCGCTCTCCGAAACACCGTCCCAAAAACCCAGGCACCGACAGTGGGTGAGTGAGACGCTATCTGCATACGGTATCTGGCCTAAATGTGGGCACGGGCCCCCCTTCTGTTCCGCCGAACTCAAAGCCCTCATTTCGCTCGAAAGATCCAGTCGACTGATTCCGTGTCCTCGCACCGGGTTTCACTAGATTTACGGGCCGCACCTCCGATGCCCGCTGGGAGAGGGCCGCTAAATTATTTGAAATCGGCTTGGGCTTTCGCTTAGAGGATTTTCACTTTGTGTTTCCTGTGTTATTCCCTGGAATATACTAGGGGTTGAAAAACCGTTTCCGGTTTTTTAGATCTTTTGACACTCTGGCAGGACTGGCAGTTTTGGTACTGTACTGTTAGCAGGAGGAACTAATTTTCCAAAGGAATCCTGTACGGTCATGTAATAAAATTTTTATAGCATTTTATACCGTTATTTAAGATATAAAAAACTCACAAAAACCTATAGAAATCTTTGACTATTCAGTCAAAATTTACGAAAAATAACAAAAAGGGTTTTCGAATTTTTAAAAATGTTTCGGATATATTTTGTAACTTTCTAGCAATAAAAAACTACTAACACCATTGAAAAATACATAATATCAACTATAATAATTTTGCTGTGGTCTCCGTCTGTCCGTCCGTCCGTGTGAAGCCGAATTCAACTCGAAGGGGAAAGGAGCTAGAGCTTAGCTCTCTTCGGATTCGGATAGAGCGTGGTCAGAAACCCCCAAACAGATAAAAAATTAGGAAAAAAGTTTTAGTTTAAATTATTAAAATTAACTTCGAAAGTTTTCCTTAGTAAGAGGAGTGGGGGACGTAGTCGGCCAGGTCGCGCGCGTTTCGGCGAAGGGGAGGGAGCGCACAGGGGATAGCCCGAAGTCCAGCCGCTTGCAGCGGCAAAGCCGCTGTAAGCGGCTGGTAAATAACAGGTGGTTATAGAAAGAAAACCAAAAATTAGTCTTCCTGCTAAAAACCTCCCCGCTCCCGTTAACAGTTCAGTCCCGTACTTGCTACACACTCCTCAGTTCCGCTTCTAATTTCCGCTCTGTACCGCCTCATCCCATTGGAACATATGTAATGTACCTGCACTGCATCAAAAAGTCATCGAGATACTCCTCCCCGATCAAAATCTTTCCTGTTCTACGACTTCCCAAAAATTCCATGGCATCTTCTTTCAGTTCCAAGCCCCTTGAAACCCCTCCCCCACCTTGTTCGCTTGCTTTGTTTCTTTTTCTAATCTCCAAAATCCGCGATTCTCCCACCCGTGCGGCATTTTGGACTAGATCGCCGACGCCTGCCGGCCATAGACAGTTTTCGGGTGGCACCTCGAGTTTTCCGGAGGCACACACCTGGATTCATCCCCCAGGCCACAGGGAGCGCCGTCGGGCACTCGGAATCTAATCCAGGATCTGTCTCGCGCTAGAATTGTCTAAACAAGACTCGCGGCTTTGGGCAAACCGGTCCTGGGTGAAGCCGCTTGGCTTGGTGCCCCTCCCCCTTCTCTTTGGGCGTTCGTTCTGATTTCAATCCTGTATGGCCTCCCGGTAGTCTAATGGTCATTTGGCATGCTCTATTTTATACCTTCACTGTTTTGAAGTATTTCTCATAGATTTTGACTAGTGTTCTCACTCCTTCTATAGTTCTCTTTCTGTCTCTCTTTCTATTTTCCGATCTGTATCACTCTATCTCTTTCTATCTCTCGCTTTCTCTCCCTATATCTCTTTCTCTCTCTCGCTCTCTCTATCGCTCTATATGTCTCCTCACTCGTTCTATCGCTCTCTCGCCCTCCCGGTCTCTCTCACGCGCTCTCTCTCTATCTCTCAGCTATCACTTTTCTACAGTATGGACGAGGAGGGAACTCCATGGGAAGCGTCCACCTCGCAGTACCAAACTTCTGAAAGAAAGGGTACAACTCGGATCTGGTCCGTACATTCCTCCCGTACACAACTCCACCCCGGAAACGATGAAGATGAACGGGTACGTCCCGAAACTAAATATTGCTTACTTTGATTATATCATTAGGCTCGCCCCCAAATCTTCCGCTTCTTGTGCCTGGCCTTGGGGCTTGGTCTCTTTTCACTTCTGATGTACGTCATATTTGTTCCGCTGATCGTTGGCGAGGCTTCGGTGGCCTGGCGAGAATTTGAGGATGGATGGAGGGAAACACAGGTTGGTCATCTGGAATATCCCAAATGATGACGTTTAGATCCTCCACAGCAGTGTTGAGGAACGGCTCCGGGAATTGCCTATGGCTCGGGAGAAGCGGTGAGGATTGGGTCATTAAGCCGCTGAAAATTGGTATTTTAGTGGAGCACAATCTGCTGAAAAACCCCAAAATGGACATGGAAAATGTAAGTGATTTTATTGATTGTTCTAGAGTGTTTTATGTCTAATTCTAGTATGCCCGGAACCTTCAACATCAACCGAATGTCCACCCGGAAAGCCTGGCGCAAAGGGAGTTACCGGAAGTGATGGTGAGCCAGGGATTGATGGAAAGCCTGGACGTGCAGGTAGCAAAGTCTTCATGCCATAATTACGGTATCCTAGGTGAAAACGCTCTCGATGCTGTTGAACAAACGCCCACTGCTGCTTGTGCTCACTGCCCACCAGGAAACGAAGGAAAATCTGGACCTGCTGGCAAACCTGGTTAGTAAAAAAAGCTTCTACTATCACCGAGTTTTGTGAAGTAAATAATTCGCTATTAATGTCATATAAAAATAACACCTCAATTAACATATCGTTTTCAGGAGTACGCGGAATGCGTGGCCCAACGGGACAACCAGGCGCCCCAGGCACGAACGGGATTCATGGAGCCCCCGGCGAGCAGGGAACCCCCGGAGAACAAGTATAAAAAACAACTCATGGTTTCATTAAAGCTGCTATATCTAGGGCCCGACCGGCGCAACCGGAGTAACAGGAGCTCCTGGAGGTGATGGAGTTAAGATGCTGAACGTCAAGGGTGCTAAAGGTTCCGCAGGACAAGCCGGCATGCCTGGACCTCGTGGGATCAAGGGAACTGATAGTCGAGTGGTTGGTGATGTCAAAATAAGGTCGAAAATCACATGTATTTAGGTCGGCACACGTGGAGTTCGCGGGCCCGATGGCCTTGTTGGTGATGAGGGGCAAAAGGGCAGCAACGGCCAGCCTGGCCCACCTGGACCACAGGGCCCTCCTGGGACTCAACCGGTACTTGGGTGCCAATTTCCTTAATGTTTTTATATAGGAATGCTGTTCCAAAACCGCAGAATCTCAACTAGCCTTACCCGTACTCGACGAACGCGAGAATGCCGAGCTTTTGAAGAAGTTCAACGCTCTGCACCCTCATGAGATTCGAAGGTATGGTTTGCGCATATCCTGGTTAAGCTTTACTGTTTAAGAAAATTCTACCGTAATCACAACCTCTCAGTTTTCAGGGCCCCCGTCACTTTCGCTGATAACAACATTCTGAAGGGTTTCGACAGCATCTCGGCTGTCTCCAAACGCACCGAACGCAAAAGGAGACCCAAGAAGAGAACGCACAGCAACATCGTAAACAATTTTCACACTCCTGAACTGTCGTTTTTCCAGGACAAAAAGAAAGCCGAAATCGCGAAATTCGAAAAATCACGCCTCCTCGACCAGACAATGATCTTCCATGGCCCAGGGCTAACCGAAACCCGGTAATTCTGAAGCTTCAACCCCGTAAAAATATTTCAGCAATATACCGACGTCGGAGAAATACCGATCTGCCGGGATTGTCGATCTACATAATGTCCTTCGTAACCGACACATGAGACTGGAAGAAGAAGAAAAGGAATTGAGAGCCCAGAAGGAACGAGTGGAAAAGCGCCTTCTTGGACAAGTAATTTTATTCACGATTTATAAAGCCTTAAGTTTAGCTCGACCAAAATTCTATCCATCGCATGTTGCGGGCAATGCGACGCCGGAAGTTGAGAAGGCGCCCGACTTCGGTAAGTATTCTCATAGAAATTCAGGCTAAAATTTATTCAGACGCCTGCGCCTGAAGTGGAGCTGACGACCGAAGACTATGAGGTAGCCTATTTTTGTAGTTAAATAATTTAATTTTTTTCATCTTAAAATTATTTAATTATTGATTTAAGGTGACCAGACCAGCAGAAGCATCAGCTGAGGCTCATCGTTCATCCAGCAAGTCTGAGGAGCGACAAACTGTTGAGGTTTGTAAAAAACTTCAATTTTTTTTTTGGTACTAGACTGTTAGCGGGGGGGGGGGGAGGACAGGGGAAGCCAAATTTTACCAGGTCCGACATCTATATATAAACCCTTTTTATAGTATTTTATACAGTTTTCGAATATAGATGAAAACGAGACAAAGAAAACAAAAATTAATTTCCTGTTAGAAACCCCCCGATAACAGCCCAGTACCCTATTTTTATTCAGGTCATACCGTCGTCCGTCTTCCAATCAAGGGAATCTTTGACGGTGGATCCTACTCCAGAACCAGCAGTCACAATCACGATTCCCACCGATATTAGCCTGCAGAGCTTCGAAAATGTTCAGGTAAAAATCTCTCTTGAAACCCCAAACATCCACCTCGTTCAGCCTACTTTGATCCCGAATCTGGACGAACAAAACGGCTTCAACCAACCGATGGTCGATTTGGCACCAGCTCCGATTGAAGCTCATGCTTATCCGCCAGCGGTAAAGCCAAGCTGCTCAGTTCATGCATCATTTTTTTAGCCAATGCCGCGTCGTATTCCGTCGGAGGTTGCCCCCAGCGCTCCTCACTACGAAGAGCCACACTTTGACGAAGAAACAGAGGAGGGCTTCTTCTCAGTTCCGGCCACTTCCCCAGCCACTGATGCACCTTCCACGACCGAGCTGCCACCACCACAATCTGAACTTTATCCTCTTGCCTCACCACCCGCTCCAGAATACACCAGGTAATCTTTAGGTCTCCATCGCCTCCAAGTCATGTCTTTAGTCCAAGCCCACCCGGAATTTCGATCGCTGAACAATTCCGACTTGTGACACCATCGAAGCTCAGCCGTACTCTCCAGGAATTAGAAACCAACCCACTCCTCCCCTCTGAAAATGACCTGATTACGGTAGAGACCATCGGTCCTTCAAAACTAAAATCTTTAGGTAACCCCCGAAGACATTTCGAGGCTGACTGACTCGCAAAACTCAGCTGTGATGGGAAGCGCGGAATTGATCCCAGCTGGACCCCCGACCAATAACGAATTGGCCGGTACCGGATTTGGGCTCGACGGTGGCTTCGGTTTCGGAGGGCCATCAGAGATATCTGAGGGCGCGAGTATGTTGAGGACAACAATGCCACCGATGCCAACTTTGATCCCTGACTTCGAGCCATCTCGGTTCGGACATAGGGCATTCGCACCTGGCGGCCAGCATGTAAGCATTTATTGGTTTTTCAAATTAAAAAACCGATTCGGTACTGGTCTGTTAGCGCGGGGGGGGGGACTTGTCCTAGTAATCCTGTACGGTATTATAAGAACATATAAACCATTTATAGCATTTACACAGCTTTAGCTATAAAAAGCCCCTATAAAAAACTTAACAATTTTCGATTTTTGCGATAATACATGAATCACGACGTAAAAAGTCTAAATTAACGATTTTCAAAACGTTTTAAATATTTGTGACTTCTAACCATCAAAAAAATACGGAAATTATTATAAAAATCAGTGTTTATTATTAACAGGCAGGTATACCCAGAAAAGAAGAATTGGTTGTACCTCCTACTAAACCCCCTGCTAACAGCCCAGTACCACAAACTTTAGTCACAAATTGATCTCGCCGATGAAAACACAGCACTCGGCATCGAAGAAGAATGGCGTGTGCGTGGTGATTCGATGCTGAACGCGTTCTCGAGCAAGTCCACTGAACGCCCGTACGAATCACAAACTGTCACCCTGATGGTGCCACCAACTGGCCCACCGACTGTGCAACTATTCGAGCAGAATGCTGCCCAGCAACAGTTCGATGTCCAGACGACCCCGCAACCACCGATGGAAACGACATTTGAACCCTCAACACAGTACTACCGTAGAAAGAAGAATAGAATTCTGGAGAACTACAAGAAGGCCATGAGGAAACACCGTAAGAGGAGAACGAGGCCTACTACTGCCGCTCCGACAACTACAACAGAGGCTTCGGAACCAGTATACGAGGTAGGGTCAGTTGATAGGGTTTGAAAGTATAACTCTCATTTTCCTAAAAAACTATACTAGAGTAAAATGAACACTTTTAGACAAGAGGCAGCTCAACAGCTGATGCCATGATGAGGGCTGTTGGCAGCACTCGCGATAGTCAGCGCAAAAAGAAACTCCTCAAGAAGCTTCATCGTGTTGAGGCCATGTTGAACCACGAGCTTGATCGGTTAGCAAAAGCTACCATTGCTAACATTTTCACATTATTACAGGTACATTGACCAGCTAGACCATGAGCAAGGGACGACGACTTCGCGAAGCCAAGAAAGCCAGGACGATGATCATCAACGCCGGCTCAGCCTTGCCCGATCGCAGCCGACCCGGGTCATGCTCCAGCAGGTACATAAGGTATGTGAAAATAGAGATCCGTGAAAATTCCATCGGAATTTAGCGCAAAAGGAAGAGGCTTCATAAGGCTGCATGGCAGAAGAAGCGAACTACGGCATACCCGACTTGGGATCAGTCGACGAGCACCGAGGTGCCGCCAAGGTTTGTTTCTGGGAAATAGTAACGCTAAAAAATCGGCACTCTGCTGTTAGTGGGGGGTCACAAACCACGAAAAACCTTATAATATACATTTATTATTAACAGTTAGTTATAGGCGGTAAAACAAAAATTAGTTTTCCACCTGCTAACAGTCTAGTACCAAAAATTCAGCTTTGGCATCGTGCCAGAAGTAACGGGAGAGACAAGCTCTGAAACCCAGAGACCAAGCAGGTTAGTGGCTGCATGAACAAACGAATTAAGAATTTTTAGCACAAACTTCTTTGCCAGCGAGGAACAAGCGGATGTTGCGACGTCTCGCACTTCCCTAGAAGCTCCGGCGGTATGATTATCCGATCTTTTCGTAAACTGTCGCTTTAGCGAGCCCGCGGCGAAATAAACTTCTCGCCGAAACCCGGAAGACGGCGTGAACTGAGGAGATTGCATAAGAAGAGACGTTCTTCCGCCAAACAGTGGACCCCGGAAGTTCACGAAGAAGGGGCTAGCCGGCCTAGAGGTCTGCCTTTTGCACAAAAATAACGATAACGAGTTTCTAATATCCCATTCATTTTAAAACAAAATTAAACCTCTAATTAAACCTGGTTTCTGGTGAGACTAACTACCGAGGGAAGCCATAAGCTCTAAGATCTGTTTTAAGAGTGCTAAAACCCGCTCTAAATTCGGCCTAAACTCCTAAAAGTTGTGTGGAGGCATGGTTGTCCAAAATTGGGAAATTAACATTTGGGGAATTGAAGATAACCAGCGCTACAGGCTAAACTATCGATTGAAAAACCAATTCTAAATGATAAAAAATAATAACTTTTCAATAACCTAGGTAAAGCTTTTCATAAACGCGTGAATTTGATTAACCCCTCAAAATAACTGCGCTAACCAAATGCTTCGCGATGGGTTTAAGAGTGGGCTGGTTTACAGTGCGCGGTGTGAGACGTCTGAGCAAGAAGACGCGACACCAGGTCCAGTACCCGATTTCGACACGTCGTCCTCCAGCGACGACGACAAGACAAACAGTTAGTCCGCACGCACATTGCCTGCCCTGCACGTCAATCACCTATTTTATTTGTTTCGGATCTCGGTGGTGGTTTTAATTTTATTTCTACACCACTTCTCAAGGTTCACTTAATTTGTTGACCTTTTAAGACGCCACCCCCACATTGAGAACGACGCAACGAGTCCGCCGCTTCTATTATAGACCGCTTTCAGGTTAGAGAACGATAATTCAAATCAAGTAATAACCAAAAACGTTCAGTTCGACGAATCCGTCTTCAGCCGGTGTCCGCCTATTTATCCAGTGTCGAAAAGCTCTAATCCCATGCACCTCAACCGACATTCCATTTTGATGTATTCTGGTCGCCACCATTCTCTTATGTGTGCAATTTTACCTGTACCACTAGTATAAACTCCCAATTTTATATGTATGTTGAATCTAATCAGGTCTTGATATTTTGCTGCCGCTATTTCTATCCCGCTCCGATCGACCCTCGTCCTGCTTGCTCTTTATTCCGCAAGTATGGATGCTTTACCTCATAATAAATACGTATTTTTATTGAGCCGTCGTTAAATTGAACAATTTATTCCAATGAAAGCTTTATTTAAAGCATCTCGACGCCAGACAAAATAAGAATCTCCCAAAAAACAACAACCAAGTGTTAACAATAACCGTAAAATTATGTAAATAAAGGCCGGCAAGACTAGATGAATTCCTGATCACAAACATCTTATAAAACAACCTCATAGATGAAAGTTGCGAGGTAAAATCGTATCGTAAACGCCACCGCTGAGAAGAATAGCTGGAGCAGCAGGAGGTAGTTCGTCAGCGTCGCTAAAAAAAACAAAATCAGAAGTTAGCAAATGCAATACCTTCATGTACAGGCCCGACAAACTTGAGCATGAGGTTGATCACCGTGAAGTTGTTGACACGCGTCCATCTAAAATAGACGTAACGGCAACAAAATAGAAAATACCTCGCGCCGTCTTTCTCGAATTCCACTTTATACAATAGCCCGATCTTAGCGAGCAGGTTGATGATGAGACTACCAACAGACTTCAAATCAGAGCTCTGAGAGGGTTGATATATCTTTGTAAGCCTAAACTACCTTGAATTCCGCAAAGCTCATCCCAACGGTGTCGGTCCTTGGGTCATATTTCGGCAGCCGATGTCTAGGGCAGGGCACCAAATGGAAGAGTTGAGGCACGGAATAAACGAAATTGATCGCCTGAAACAATGTAAATTTAAAAGCAAAATCAAGCTTACTTGTGGAATGAAGAACAGCATAGCCGTCTTCGAGAAATGGCCAAGAATTGCTGAAACCGCGATGGTCATCCCAGCCCAGTAACAGTAGGTGTCACCGACAAAGACCATAGCTGGACACTAAACTATGGATTTTTAATCAAGCGGCATGCGTCATACCTTATTGTACAACCACAATACATAAGAGATCGTGAAGAACGGCAACAGGAAGTAAAGAGACAGCCAGTTGTGCCAGATATCAATTGGATCGCCGAGACGGACCACCTTAACAATATATATCATTTGAAGTTAGGGACAGGAATACCTGAGTGAGGTTGTAGCAAATGATTGACGCCGAGATGACAAGACTTTGCCCAACCTAAACTGCAATAATCACGTTTACAAATCGATAATTACCTCCAATCCATTCACTCCAGCATAAATATTGATAGCATTCGTACAAAATACGATCACCATTCCCATGAAGATATAATAGAGGAAATTGATCTCGAGCAGGGTTGGGGCCTAAAAACAGTACTTTTGACGAATAAATTACTAGCGAACCTGGAACCCATACATCGCAACGAAATAGCGGACGACCTTCGGGACAACGATTGTTGTAGATCCACCTAAAATACACCTTGAGAAAACAAAATAAAAATAATGCTAACCTGACACGTAATATACCATCAGCACAGGCAGTGAAGACAACGTTGGAAACAGGAGTTTATGACGCCATCTAAATGAAAATGCTAAATCATTAGCAATGCACGCCATAAACAAACCTCAAATCCAACATATCATCCGCAAATCCAAGCAGGATTGCCGTGCAAATGGAAATGATTGCCGACATAAACGCCAAGAACTTGTCGTGAGGAAAATCAGATCTAAAACAAGAAATCACGGGATGTATCAAATAGACTAAGCTTACCCCGAGAAGGTCCACTCCAGAAACGGAAATGGAATGAAGATAAATATCACGATGAGATACACAGCCGCCGAGATCATGCCCATCGGCTCCGGCACAGGCTTATCGCTGACCTAAAAAAGGCATTGAAAACAATATATACGCTAACCTTGCACTGATCATTGCCAAAATGTCCTCTTGCTATGAAAATCGGGATGTACTCTTTGATCAGCTTGGATGAAATGTAGCCGCCCAAGAGACTCAGCCCGACATTGACCAAGATTGTTGAGAGGCTCATGGCCAAACCTGGAAAAAGAACTTATTTGTGTAAAAAGAATGATTTACGGGCGAATAAACGGAATCAGGTGAGAGAAAATAAGAATTGGATTTTTTTAAATTTGAAATGAAATTTTTCGTAACATGAACTTTTCTTTTCCGTAGGACACCACTTGACACTTGTTTCCGGACACTACAATAACCGTTCACTTATCCATAGGTGCAACTCGGAATATCCTGCGTCGTTCCGAATTACGGAAATTCTGGCAAACTAGCTTTATTTAGCGATCTCAAGTAAATCTCAGTAGTCTTTCATCTGCTAGAATAATTTACTCGTTTTCAAGTATAAAATGAACTAAATAATAGATTACGACATTTATTTGCCGGAAAGACGACAAGGCACTCGCACTTGCGTCGCGCACGCGATGCACCAGTTCAGCGGCCCTTCACGTACAACGCCTGTTTGAACCTATTAGCGCACCGATATCGCATGCTATCTATTATTTCCCTCAATCATATCTAATCATTTACGAAACTGCCCCCTGATTCTAGCATGGATATTAGCAAAATTACCCCGAACAAAAACTTGCTTACAGCATTGAAACGTTCCTTTGTTTTCGTAAAATCCACTTACATTTCTTCAGAAGTCTTTTCATTCCATACCTCCATATAATACTCTTAATAATTAATTAAACTAGATCACCCATTAATTTTAGGGTATTTTATTATCTACTTGGTAGGATGGCGCCCTATGACAGCGATGATGATGACCGGCGAAGGGACCGCTTTCCTCGCGAACGTGGTTATGGCGCTGACCGCAATGGAGGCGCTGTTAATAACGAAAACGTTGAAAGGTTGGTCTTCATAACAATGAGCTATTGGTGGTCGCAGTCAGTTTTTGCATAATGGCCTTTATTTCTGTTTTAAAATCAGCAATAAACCTTATGTAAAACTCCCAGAACGTTTAGACGTGCCCCTTTCAAACGAAGTTACCCGGGTCCGCCACGCCGTGATGACGACAATGCAAAGCGCCCGAGAAATGAGTAGGTCAAGCAGGATTTTCCTAAACAATCGCATTACAGCAACGATGCCGGCGAGCTACTTAGCCTGAAAGCATACGCCGCTGAGCAGAACATCGCTCTGGATGCAGAGGAGTTGGGCGAAAAATATGCTACTTACAAAGACGAGTACAACAAGCGTATTTGCAAACAGTTCTTCGAGGCTCACAAGGAGGAAGAATGGTAGGTCACAAATATGAGCAAGTAAACCAAATATTTTTCCAGGTTTAAGAAACGATATCATCCAACTCAATTGGCGGCGAGCGAAGCCCAGCGAAGAGAAGCCATCGTGAAGAGGATCGAAGCTTACAATAAGCTTTCGGAAATGGGCTATCTCAGCGAGTTGAGTCTGGATCCCACGAATGCCCGAAATGTTGTGAGGCTTTTGAATGCTGGTACGTTTGTTATTGTGTTACATATAAATAGTCTCGTTTTAGCTGCTGTCCTCGTCAACGGCGGTGACGATGAGAAGCTGGAAAGGGTTATGAAGATGGAAATTACTGATGCTGCTGTGCAAGATGTGTTAAACGACGGACTGGTTTGCAAAAATTTTGTTTTGTTTAAATTAAGTATAGGAGTTGCCTGCCGAATCGGATAAGGAATCAGAGCCGTCGTTGTTGGAATGGTACGCAGGGATCTTTATTCGCTGCATTCCCCCATCGATGACTGATAATGAACTCCATGAAGTTTGTGTTTGAGCCATTTTTTTTCGACAAATTTTTCCAGTACTCTGAAAGAAAGAGGTATTATAGGTTTGCCAACGTTATCCGGGTTACAATCAACTCCACTTCTTCCCCGTGCAACCTGAAACTCGCTGGTCGCGTAAAGCCATTGCAGCCTTCAGAACCAACGTTGACCTGAAAGACTTGTGCATTGGAATCAATGGTGTCAGGGTAGGTTATCAAAAATTATGCTGTATCAAATACCTCTAGGTGAAAGGAAGCGATTTGGTTGCTTATTTGGCTCCAAATACCGGTGAGCGTGTGCGTGTTTCTCATCCATTCATCAATCACAAGCCGATCGCTCTCGCCTTCCTGCACAAAGCAACGAAGGTATAAATTTTACGATAGCTAGAAAGGCGTTCTGTGAAATAAACTTTGAAGTTTACTCGATTGTTCAGATCCTTGCCTTGCTGGACAAGAAGAGCGGCCAATTTTTGGGTGATGCCGAGGAAGAGCAACCCGAAGAAATTCGGAAAAACATTGCAATCGGATTCGACTACGTCTCGGCCTCAACAAATCCATTAATTGTAAAGGCTCGTGAAGTCTTGCCAAAAAGTCTAGACGATGACGAGGCTCTCAGTGAGTCATAATAACTTATTTTCACATTCAAATCGAATTCAGGACGTGCCGACAAGATTCCCGATGCTGCTGACGTAGTTTTCGAACGCGATGAGCGCGTTATCAAAGTGCTTGATGAGGTATGTTTTAGAATTAGGGTTTTTTAATGAATTTAGATTACTTTTTACCTCCGCGTCGTCTATTCCTTTGACCTTTTCGATTACAACAGAATTGACGATGAGGAGACGCTTCCGAATAAGTAAGGCCTTTTGACCCACGCTCTCTAGTAGAAACTTTTAGTCTGGAAATGCTCCACATAAGAGGTCAAGACATCAAGCCATCATCCGATGATGCTTTGCCGATCTTTAAGAAAGGAGCGCTACGGGTATGTTATTTTGCCGATGCTTTTACGTATTTTTTAGATCTTTGAGCAAGAGGTACAAAAGCAATTGGAGCCATTTTACACAGCTCGTTTCGTATCAGATGCACAGTTGGCTGCTCTAGGTACTATGGACCCCGAAAGGTAAGGCTTTGCTAAAAATAGCTAAAATTGATGTTTTTTAGTGCGGTCGAAGAATTGATAAAGAAAAATACGGTTCAGCTCAGCGAGGAAAAGTGGCTGTGTCCGTTATCGGGCAAGAAATTCAAGGTAGGACCGCTGAGAAGATAGATTCAACACCAATTTTCAGGGTCCCGAATTTATCCGCAAGCACATCACCAGCAAACATATGGACGCCGTTGATGCGGTTAAAGCGGAGGTATGTTACTTGGAGATGCTAACAAGCTCAGAATTTAGTCGCTATTTTTCAACAACTATTTGCTGGATGCCGACCGGCCCTGTGATACTGGATCTGATGCACAGGAATCTAGAGTTAACGACCCACGTGGTAAATTACTCCATTTCAGCACACACTTATTTATTTTAGAGCGCCGTCGTATGGCACCAGTGCGGCGTGAGGAGCGTTCGCCACGAAAGTAGGTTGAATACATAGAACGAAATCGCATATTATGAACATGATCATTATTTCCGGAAAAATATCCAGTTCATAGACTATCCAAACAATTATAGGGAGCCGATGCGTCGCTTCATCGCCTACAAGGATCTCGATGCGGTCGAAGACAGCGTCCCAAATCCCTTCTAAGATTCTCAATTTCAACTTTGCGCAGCCCGTTTTTTCGAAATTTATTTCTTTGTTATGTGACTGATAAATTATTGGTACCTTTATTGATGCACCAACATATCAAGAAATTACACTTAGTGTTATAGCGCAAAATGTTGCCTCAGGCATGTTAGGGCAAAGGTATCACATCTGGGTGATGCACACGAGAGGTAAGTAGACACTATTGCAGAACCAGATGAACCCAGGGGCAGGCAAAGCAGATGGAGCCTCTTCTCACTAGTGCCTCTTTCTCTCTTTCTCTACTAGGCTGCCCGCTCTCCCTCTCCTCTCTCTCTAACTAAAGAGGAAACCCCCGCGAAATTTGAAATTACATATCGTCGTTGATCCTCCCAGTTCCTTACTGACCTAAAAACAGTGGCTATTCCCGTCTTGTCCATCCATTCTTAAAACCCTTTCAACCTCGTCGTTTTCCTTTTCTCGTCTTTTCATCAAGATTATAATAAGCTTCTATCTTTCAGATGCGCGAACCGCATGTAGAATTCTTGGCCAATACAAGGTCCCGCGTTTCGAATCAGGACACGCTGCCCCTCCCATTTCCCAAGTAAGAATATCTTTAAATTTTGATTAATCTATCTTCAGACCGAAGCCCCAGCTGGTTGCCGATGCCAAGCAAGCGTACCACACAGCTTGCAAACAATATGCCGACAAGATCAAGACCGACGGACTAGTATGTGTTTCCGATCTAACCATATTTTTCTTCTAGAATGCTTGGAAAAACGCACCCAACACAAGGCTCGAACAACAAGAAGCACGGGAGCAGTTAGCTCAAGTAAGGTTTCGTTTTTAGTTTATTGGCTAGGTGAAGTATATTAAGTTGCCTGTTTATTTTTATTTTCATTTATGTTATTAATTAAATTAAATTCCGCAAAGAAAAATTTTCAGAATATGCGGCCGATCACGTTCCCCGCACACGATGTGAAGCTCGAGGCAGCCAAGCCGTCACTGGAGATCAGTTGCTCGGCTGTGCATCCGACAAACATCCCCGTAATTATGCAACCCATGGAACACAAATGTTTTTCTTTTTTTAGGAGCAGCTTATGGTTACAATCGATGCCATCCCGCTAACTGGAAAGGAGACCGACAAAGAATTGCACGAGCAGCTCGAAAATTTTCCGGTACGTGCTTCTTACTCCTTAAAAAATAACAAATAGATCAAAAATGGCATTTATTTGTATCGTTTAAATCTAAACAAAAAGTAAGCCATTTTCAGAGTACGCGCGGTATCCGTCTCGGCTGGAACCGTCTCTGCCCGGATGCGGTCGCCCAAAACATGTACAAAGAGTTGAGCGCAAAGTTGAGTCCCACTTTAATTCAGATAATTTATTCTTTAGGTACAACGAGGAGAAAGACAAAGAAAAGATCGACGAGGTGTTCAATTACCTCTTCCCAAACAAGCTACCGGTGGAAAATCTCCCAGCATAGTAAGCGAACTAATACCTTAAATAACCCGGATTTAGTTTTAACAAGTTGATGTTAACCGACAAAAAGGAGCCGAGCGGCAAAAATCAAGTATGTTTTGCGCAAAACTGAGAAATATAAAGTTGTATAGGTGGCTGCGGAAGCTGGTGGAAAACCGGCGTTGATGAAGATGTGTCGTGTCTGCTTTATGTACGGTTGCAAGCAACATGGTGAGGAAAATCAAGCTTTATGGTAATCACGGTAGTTTAGTTGGACAAGACAACGAGCGCCCAGTTCCTGCACGTCAGAAGCCACCTCGTACAATTACCAAGGAGATGCAAGCCAAAATGTGTGGGCCGCGATGCTGCAAATTGGTGAAGAGCGAGGAAGTGACACGATTGGGGCAGGGCTCTAGTAAGACGGTGGTCCCTGTTATCAACGTCGAAGCTCTTGAGTAAGTATTTTTAGATCGTTTTCGATAAAAGAAACAGCAAAACTGAGCATCATTCTCCCGAACCTAAAATTTTTTAGAACATATGCGAAAAGGAATGGTGGCGTTGAAAACTGCTGCATGATCACCGCTGAGTACAACTTTTTGCAGAAGGCCTCTCTAGATTGTGTACAGGTTTGGAGCTACTTGGGGATTTTAGCCAATACGAGCTTTTATAGGTCTTCGGCTACCTAAAGGCGCACCCAGAATTCCGTGTTGCCGCACCAAAACCGGTTGTGAACAAAGTGAAAGAGCTGTCGTACTCTGAGTAAGTGTTCTTTATAATATAAACTAAGGTGGCTTGTTCAAAATTAACTTTTATATCTATTACTATCTAGAAAGTGGCGAAGTTTCGTCAATGGGCTCAAGACACTTGGTATGGACAAGATCCACCATGGCGATCATCACATCTGCACACACGACGGAAAATGCGAGGTAAGTATGGTGCACTTGTGCTTCTGAAGTTTTCTATTACAGAAAGGCAAATGCGCATGCCTCGAAAATGGGTACTGCAACAAGTTTTGCCACTGCTACCCTTGTCGACATACGTTTCCGGGCTGCAGATGTCAAGGTGAGCTATAGGCAGCTTTGTATCATTTCGTTTCAGGCTTCTGTAATACAAAACAGTGTCCCTGCTTCAATGGCCTCTTCGAGTGTGACCCTGATCTGTGCAAAAACTGCGGTGTCTGTAAGTTCGAATAACTTTTATCCTACTTCAATTTCTTCAGGCGAGCCTAACAACCCACAGAAGAAATGTACGAATGTACAGCTCCAGCGCAAGTACTGTAAACGAGTGGAGGTTCGTCTCATTCTGCCATCGGCGTGTATTTACGACTTTAGGTACGCCTCTCAACAATCCCGGAAGCCGGCCGAGGTCTATTCGTTTTGGAGAAAGTGTCAAAGGGCGAACTAATTGGCGAATACGCTGGAGAGGTCAGTCACAAAAAATCTAAGTCAACTTAATGTGTTTAAGATTCTAAGCCGCGAAGAAACCGAAAAGCGGGGCGCCCAATACGATCGCAACCGATGCTCCTATCTGTTTGGTAAGTTGTTTACGCGAATCACACAACAACAAATTTCCAGCGCTAACCGAAGAAAAATCCATCGACCCATTCTACGTGGGCACCCCAATGCGCTACTTGAACCACAACCTCAAGAATTTAAATTGCGGATCTCGGGTAACGGTCTCTTTGCAAAATTCCAATGTGTTGTTCAGGTGATGATGGTCGGAACAGAAAGCCGCATTGGCATATATGCATTGAGGGATATCGAAGCCGAAGAAGAGCTCTTCTTCGACTACAAATACAACGAACTCAACGGGAAGAAGTTCGTCGGCAAGTCGACTGCCAATGAAAAACCGACCGCCGCCGCACAGCCACTGCCAAAGAAGAAAAAGAAATAGACCAATCAGTATTTATCGAATTTTCCTGCCCGTTCATAAATTTATTCAAACTAATCGGACAAAGACCCGTGTGAGGTGTTAAACATACATAGTGCGGAAGGGACTCACTTCCGAGTGTTTATCTGCATGCGCCATCTTGCAAACTTCGTCCCATTTTCGAAGAGTTTTGCTTCGGGGAATGTTGGATACGAGCTGAACAGTAGCCCTGAAATAAAACAAATTATATGGACAGACAAACAACTGTTACCATTTTTCATTTTCGCGCATGTAAAGCGGACAGCATCGCCAAATGCCATCGGGAGATAAATCGATCGTGTAACCGTTTCGTTAGAGTACGGATCGATCAATTGAAGCGGAGCTTCGCCAGCATATTTGCTAAAAGTCAGTAAAGCAAGTCCGGTAGAAAAAATACCGGCTGGATCTGCGTGCTTGTCCTTTTTCAATGTAGATACGATCCCGCTTGAAGTTGAATTGTGAGTAGAATTCAAAATAGCGCACTAGCAGTTCAGAGACACTCATCGTATTGTGAGATTTATAATCTGAATTTGGTGAGTCGCTTTCGAAATAAAAGTTACCTAGTTTTAGCGAATTGACCGGGATCTTCATCTGCTCAATTACTTGTTCGATAGGAAGCTGCCCAGATACCAGGGATGGATGGGTTTGACAGAGGACTGGGAGCACTTGCCACGGGGTTAATGCCTGTAAGACCATCAGCTTCGAAAAAGAACAGAACACTCACCTGTTCACTTTGCAAAAAGTGGATCAGGGTAAGCAAGATGTGGTAGCCGTTGAACAATCCCGCCTTTGAATTTTTCAACTAAAAAAAATGGGTTAGTCCCGGCCTTGCCAATTTCAAAATCAAAACGGTGTAGAACTCACACCACATTCCTCGAACCATCTACGAATGTAAATCGCCATCTGGCCCAGTCTCCGATCCGCCTTCAGGTAATACCGCACCAAGTTTGAATTGCGGATGTTTTGAAAGGATTCGTTCAGGAGCGTCAGATCCATCTTGGAGCCATCGTCGAAACTAAAAATATTAGATCAAGACTTCGGTTAATACATAGCGATGAACAACCCGAAAAACGACATACTTGACAACAAGCAGCGGATGTTGTATGTAATGTAGAGAGACTACTGAGGATACTGTTTTCCCAAGAATCTCTTTCGAATGCCGACGCATTAGCGCCTCAATGAAATCGAATAGGAAACTAAAACAATTTTATCTCCCGTAGTATAATACCTGACAAGCTCCTGGTTCTGACGACACGCCTGGTTGAAGCCCAATCGCTCGTCTTTACTAAAAGTTGGTTTAGAGTATAAAGATAATCATTACCTTTTAATAAATATTGAACAGTCTATATCCGATAGGTCAGATGAGAGGCCGAAACTCGTCGATCCATAAAGCACAAGGGCTGTCTTGTCGGGGTTCAGGCAGCTCTCCGTGATCTTGGTTATGAGTCCAATGTGCTGCTGAGTAAGGCGCTAAAAACAAGATTGAGTCGGAATTTGTGCTAAACCTCATGATCGCGCTCGATGTTTCGATAGTCTCGATCGAGCGCATTGTCCAATAGAGTCATCTCATTTTGATGTTCCCTTTTGCAAATTTCGACGAGGAGAGGCACGGTTGGAGAGGTACGGGTAGGCAAGGATGAAGTCGATTGCACAGCTAAAAATATAGATATATTTGTACGGGACAATCAACAAAAAAGCACACCTTACCGTTTGAGAATGTTCGACCAGTCTTCCCGTAGATGCGTGGGTCGTGACGAAGCGCTGGCAGGCGCCATTTAAAACGCATGACCTATAGGAAGTTATTCGCTCACGGAAAATTGTTCAAAGACTAGAGGCGACAATGCGCAGATCAAAGACACGTCTGGATTCAACGATAATCATTTATCCATAAGTAACAGCAAAAAACTAATGCACCGCAACAGTGCCTCACGGCAGTTTCCCGCTTTCCAAATTGATCCGAAATCTTGAAAAAAGCTGATTGAGAAGGATGTGCCCGTTCGTCACGTTACAAATGCTGTCCGTCCCATGATACCCATTCCGAATCCATAATCGCCTGTCCGGATACCTGGAAAGAGCATTCAGAGTAAATCGCCATCGCAAACATCGTAGCCAGCAAACCAAACTGTCCGAACCAAAAAATCTAATCTTATTACTCAAGTAAAACAAACTTTTTGCATAGTATTTCGCCGTTTAGAGCGTCGATTCCAAACTTCTCAAAGTCGAACGTGCTGTAGTAGTCCACCAGACGAAAAAATACCGCCGCCGTGGTATCATCAGACGGTATGAAGTTGACCGGATTGTACTGTAACAGAAACGTTGAAGTGACCAAGCACCAAACTTACTATCCTATCTAACCAATTATCATGTCCTGCGACTTGCCATCTGTTCTCTACCGCCAATCCCGGGAATGTAGATAGCATCTTTGGAAATACAGCACTTCCACCGAACGGCCGCCAAAAAGAGTTCAGTTTTTTAATAAGCAAGCTACCTGCAAGAAATGTAGTAGCAGCGAGGTAACGTGAAAATTCGAAAAACGGCCTTCACGCGGGTTCAGCAAAATAGCCTCGGAGAATTTAGATAGAAGGTAGGCTCGCAGGACATAAAACCGGGGGTCCATCTAAAAGTTGAGTTGAAATACTACGCAACAGAGCTGACCATATTGGCAACACGTAGGTGGTTTGTTGTTTTAATGGTATCCGCATTGCCAAACTGCACATCCACGGATATACCACTCGGCCGCTTAAGCTTAACGGAGAGGATGGGTACTCGAGCGTGGACGATTGCCTACGAAAGGAACGTTAAAACCTTGTTAAATTCCAAGTACAACCTTATAGGAAGACTAAGTAAAAAGTCTTACCAAATAGCTTTCCAGTCCATATTTAGAGCCAGACAGCAAACGCGAATGTTGGATCATGAGACGCCTGACAAGCGTGATAGTCAGAACTAAGGTCACCAGCGTATCTTCTCTGTATCCCAAAAACGTTGCAGAAAGACCTCTGGTTGTTCCTTCTTTGGCATCATGACGACGTCGATATCAGAATCTGGACGGAAAAGCCCTAAAAGCTGGCGTTGTGAATACAATGAGAAATTACCGTTACAGGAGCCACCAACCGGGTATGCCTTGAACTCCTTGCTTTCCAGAGCTTTGCTGATATCGTAGGCTAGCTTTCGCCGCTGAGAGAATCTTCGTTAAAGCAGGCCAAGACATCATACCTTCTTGTAAAGCACATAATCGAGGTGGAAAGGTGCGCAACGTAGCGAAGCATCCAGCTTTTGCTCGATATCAGGGAATTCGGTCTTCAGAAACCGAAGTAGATCACCCCGCTCGGATTTATGTGGTCGCGTGGATAACGAAGCAGCATATACACCCTGGAATGATGTTGGAAAAGGCGCATACGAGACTATCAGCCATGAAAGCCTCCAGAAACATACTCTGATAAAACTACTCGTTGACGGCGAACAGAGATGACGAACCATCGACAGCCACCGGAAAGCCACAGGCCTTCCTAATGTTTATATGAGGCATGGCAATCAAAACAGTTCCGAAGTACGCTTAGGTGTCTGACGATTATGTGTATATATACTGCGATCTGCATCATAGGCAATATTTATTCAAAGTAACAAAGTGAGAAGGTATATAGCATGCAAATAAATACCAACATATCAAGCATTATATCAATGAGAAGGGAATGAATGCGGAGAAGAGGGCTCTGCTATCCGGCCACCTTCAGCGAGCGCACCTCAAGATCCGTAGTAGCTTCTTTACAAACGATCGGTTCCAGGATACGGCGCAACTCGTTGTAGACACGTTTGAAACGAAGACCGTCTCCCTTCGACCTGAAAAATTAAATGAGAGACGAACGCCCCGATAAAAGCTGCTGTAGTTTGTATCGGGGGCCGCATAGAGCGAACGCCTAGGGAAACCCGTAAGAGCTTGGCTCGGAATCTTTTAGTCCCATCAAATTCGCAAAAAGAGGCAGGATACTTTTTATCAAAGACTGAAGAGGCTAGCTTGCCTTACACCCAATGAAAAATAACACTTACCTTCTGAAATCTATCATGCACCGCGGCTGGCCGTCAAGGACAACTGGATAAATTGATACGGCGATTGCGAGGTTGCGCGCATGGTCAATCAGAACAATCTAAAAAGCATTTTATAGTCCAAACAAAAAATGTTTCACCGAAGAATTAGGCTTTTCTTTTAGCTCCAGCATCACTTCTTTTGCCGCTTCGGCCAACCGCTCGACAAATGCGCCGTAATCGACGCTAACGCAGAAGCGTGTGACTCGAGAAGCCAGATTGGCGAAATGGTCCTAGGATAAAATTATGAAAAAGTGAAGGCATAATACCAGATTGTGATCATAATCTTGCGAAATGTATAGAACATTTTCCGGTTGAGAGAAAGCGACAGCAGCTGGCTTAGCCTTTTCTGTGCGAGTTTCAGAAATAGCACAATGCGATACAGGTTGGGATCTAAACCAAACATTGCACATAATAGGAAGCCTACGCCTGCAGCAAAAAGAGCGTCCTGGAGGGAGTATCTTCAACTAAAGCAAAAACAAATGATTATCGTAAATACTATACCAGGAATAAACTGAAAGAACCATTTGTGCTTCCTGATCTCGTCCGTCGTCGCACGTTGCTTTTCGATCGGGTGCAGGACACAATGCAGAAAATCTAGAAAACTAATTTGTAAGAAATGTCTGGCCTTTTTTTATACCCTGGAAAGACCAAAAAACTACCTAGTGTGAGGTGGTCGAGTCGATTCCATGGATAGATATCAGCATGCTCCAACCAGTGCACATATTCTTTTTGAGTCCTATAAAAATAGAGTCCGACATTATAGAAAAATATACGTCGATGCCATGTCCCATGGAAGCTGGCCGGTCAGAAGCGTATGCAGCACAATACCCGCAGACCAGACATCAGTCGGTGGGCCCCTGAATTTAATTCATCAAACCAAGGAATCTGCCCACTTGTATCGAAAATCGAGGACTTGCGGGCTGGCATAGGGATATGTGCCGCAACAAGAGTCAAGTGTTCTCTCTCTGCCGTGGATTCGAAAGATAGTAGCAAGTCCGAAATCACCGATTTTCAGAACATCTGAAAGCAGTCACACGATAAAGGGTCAAAACACGTTAATTCTAAATCAATTGACGCAAAACGGCGAAAATGTTGCACCTGTCTTGGTCAAGAACAAATTTTCCGGCTTTATGTCTCGATGTGCGACACCCAGTTTGTGAAGGTAGTCAAGTCCATCAATCAACTGGCGGAAGTAATGTTGTGCTATATGGTGTGGGACACCGACATCAGGCTCTAAAAGGGAACATTGCCATCGTTCAAAATCCTCACCTATGCGATCAAAAAGTTCTCCGCCGTCTGCGTATTCCAAGAACATCTCGAACAGCGGGAGATCATGGTCGACTCGCAGGCCTATAAAAAATTTTTGGCGCCTGAAAAATTCAACTGACCCACAAACTTGATCACATTCGGGTGCACTTGTTGCGTCAGTTTTCTGTGCAACAGGGCCTGAAAGCAAGGTATTTATGCGAAGTGCGGGGTATTACCTCTTTCCTCAGAGCTTCAATGCCCTTGTCGCCATTTTTTAACATATCCACGATCTTGACCGCCAGTAAGATGCCACTTTTCGGATCTTTGCGCAGCATCACCTCGCCGAAGGCTCCTAAATAACATTTTTCACTCACAACTCACAAATACCAACCTTCGCCAAGAACACGGACATCTTCCATGACGGCCGGAACATTTTCCAGGTCGCCATGCATGAACTAAAATGCGAAGAGTAAATATTGAAAAAGCAGTGTCGCAACCAGGTTCAAAATCTAGATTTTAATGCTCCACGTTTTTCTTTGGTCTTTTTCCCAAATAAAAACCTCCCTATTCAAAGCGCAATGGGCCGCGGGGAGCCCCCGTGTGCATAGGAAACATTCAGTCTAAGAGAGAGAAAGCGTAAGCGTAACAGGATATTAAATGATGCTATTCTTAATCTAATGGAGCAGCGATAGGCAACAACTATGGTTGAAAAAGGTACGAAACATGCAAGTGTCGAATAAAAAGCAAAAAATAGGACAAGATATTTGCTCACTTTTTTCATTATCATTAAAAAAACATACAACGTCCCGATCCTCCGCCGTAAACTCCATCAGTGAAAGCAACGGCTGCAGAGTTAATGTATTAACTAAAAACTCTATTTGAAAGCGAAGAAAGCTTTAACCTTGCAAACGGCCCGCAGTCAGTCAGGCAATCTTCGCGGCGCTAGTTCCTGAACGATCATTTTGCAGAACGGAGAACAAAGAAAGCGAAAGCAGTGGTTTTAGCAGAATGAGAAAAGGAGGAGAAATCCATCATATAAAAGAGATTGACTACAACAAGTAAAAAATGTAACCCAGTCAGAAGTGCTGGCAGTGGAAAATTGAAAAACCGCGACGGTCGAGCAAAAAAAGTCAACGGTGCAAAAAATCCACGAGGCTCCGAAGATTCCAATTGACGACCGTGAGCGTTGACTGTATGGATACGTAACAAATGTCTGAAAATAATTTTCTTTCAAAAATTTTTCGGAATTTTCATTTTTCAGTTAGCAAATTTCGCACGGTGCGCACAGTTAGCAAAATAATGCGCATGACTATGAGTATTTGGACTCTAAAGTAATTATCTATCTTGAAATATGCTTTGACACATTATACTACTCGTGACGATGTACTGAGACGCAATTTGAGTTGATGTGCAAAGCTATCGCGTGGACCGTGAGCCGTGCGAAATTCGCTAATTGCCGCGTTTTATTTAGTTTGCGTTAATTCGCTATTATTTCTAGTTTTGATCGATGCCAGCTGTATTTGAATTTTTAGATGGAGCATGAAGCTTGGATTCGAGGCGGCACCGGTGAAGCGAGGGCACGTCTACCCAGATGGGCCAACCCGAGGGAGGTTTTTCCTGGAGGCTTCAGAGAAATCGCTCACGTGCTAGTCGAAACTGGGACTCAGCCAATCAGACAGACGGGACCCCAGTAAGCTCTTTTTAACTCTGGTTTATATGTACTTCAGGTGTGGTATCGTCGCCTTGGCGATGGGTTACAATGCCATGACTGGCATGAATGATGACCGGGACCATTCGCCGCGCATTCTCAAGAACGCGATCGACATGGGGTTCACCAAGCAGGGAGAAATGTTTGAGGGTACGTAGTTTGTAATCGTTCCTTCCTTTGTGGCTAAACGAAATTCTCATATCTTTATTTTAGCCTACAACATGGCCCGACTCGCCAGGGCCAGCTTTGATCGTATTCATGCTATGTGTGTTCCCGCGCCCAGGCAGCATGAACTGATTATGCATATCAACCATGGCGGCGTGGTTCTGTTCCCATACGATGCGGACAGGGATCACCGTCCGGCTCAGCGGAATGGCGCGAGCGCGCACTGGTGCTTAATAGTGAGTTTTCGTTTAACGACTTGATTTTTTCTGCTTCTAGAACGGCTATTTCTGCGGGAGGTATCGCAGTACGGAAAACTCCAAAGCTTGTGATTGGGTCGGCGAGGGGAAGCTGCACGTGAGCGTCTGGCAGGGAAAGAGCGGGTACGTTGCAATTAATTTACTTATTAAAACTGCTTAGCCACCAGGCTCGCTTTTCCTACGCGGACCTCATCGAGAGCAACCGTCAGCTTGTTGGGGTGAGTATTTTCAGCGATAATGGTGGTGGCATTCCATTGCATTCAAATAAATTTGTGATTCTTTGCAACTGTTAGTGTAAGGGTCGTTTTCAGAGTGCCCCGAGCCTCAAGAATGACCGCCATCGCCTTCCGGACGGGGATGACCTCTCCGGCCTGCGCTCGCTTGCGGTGATGCTGTATCCGCATGAACATGGTTACTAAGAATTCAATATGCTCGATTCATCTCCATCTTCTGCGTTTATCTCTGGCCCTCGTTACCATCTCCAATACTTTTCCGAATTCCTCGTTATGTTAAGATCTAGTTATTAGCTTTTGGCCTTTTTTAATTAACTTGTTATTGGTCCTTTTTGTTTGTCAATAAAATTTGTTGTTGTTTACGATTATTGGCACCACGACGAAAATTGTTAGCAGGCAAGGTCGATGCTGTTTGGGAATTTGGGGAGTGAGATTAACGAAGTTGAATTTTTCGTGGATTTTGAATCAACTGCGCATATAACATTTTTCAGCAACGACGCCCTTAACACTTCAACCTCATGCGGTCGGAGGTGCGACAATGTAGGGCACTTCTCACCGGATGAGATTAGAGCGTTTGACAGGCCGATGACAAGGACAGGGCGCGCTCTTTAGTTAGTTAGTGAGTTAGTTTGATGGCGACAGTTGGGTGGTGCGTTTCTAGAGCGGGAACGATTAGGTCAGTATTTTGCGCGTTGGAAGTTCTACGAAAAGCGGCTGTCTTTTAATAATAGTACTATAGCTCAAGCGCGGGTATAAGCCTAGCAGCGATATCATCGGGGAAAAGGGGTTTTGCAAATTAGGTGAGAAAGTCGAACAACCCTGAGAACAATTGACAGCCTGTGACTGTCGACGGCACCGAAGCGAATGAGTGCCACCGAATCTAAGAAACATCTCCTAGAATTGGATGCCGGATGCGATGCAATGATCGTGGTTGTAGTAGAAGCCCCGAAGGCGAAGGAGGGGGCGAAGGTATGGAGGTGTGGCTGGCCGTAATCGGGCCGGCAAACACTTTGGTGGAGGGCATGCGACACATAGCCACACGGCCTTCTTATGGGCGGATTAGGGCCGGTGAACGACGGCGCGCCCGATCCTGCGGGGCGCTCAGGGCACACGCATAGTCGCGCCAGCACAGCACACAGCAAACAGCCGTAAACGGGGTGATCATGCTCCGGCGGGCCGGCCCTCGGCCTCCACATCGTGGCTCTATTTGGCCAGTGTTCCCATCCTTACCCCATCGATGCTCCTTTTCGGAGGAAAAGAGAACGAGTTCCTTTAGGCCATCCATCCTCTAGGTCGGGTTTTGTCGCACGCACAACCCCGGAAAATTTTGGTGCTTTTTAGGGATTTTGAGGAATAAGCAGGTGATTGGCTGTCGTCAAGGAAGGGAGTTTTCAGGCATGTGCTGGTTTTTTAATTGATGAGTCGGGGTCGTGCGATCAAACAAAAACAATTTGACTGCTTTTTTTCAAACTCGGGAAAGATCGACTTCTTTAAGGGAGTAGATATAGCTTTTTAGATGTTTTTTTAAAATACTACTTCGATTTTTGAGATGTTTATGTTTCCGGACTACAGTAAATTTACCATTTTTATAAAGGATTATGAAGGTTAGCTTAGATATTTATCTAAAATCTTGTTAACTAACACAAGTATAAATAAGGCTAGCTAGCTACGTGATCTAGCGAGTATGGTCTAGCTAATTTTTGGAGCTTATGTTATTAGTTCAGATCAAGCTTTTCCGAGTATCGGGGTTAACTTTGATGAAATTAATTTTTCGACATCATTTACATAAGGCTTCCCAACTACAGTATGCCTGTGGATTTTTTGAACAGTTCCTGCGACATAAAGCTTGATCTAGTCTAACAAGGAGGCTTTTTTTTAGTGCCATCGAAATGTCAAGGGGGACCAAGCCTATCTTTAGCAGAATTTTGCGCTGATTCCGAATAAAGTCAAGGGCGACCGAAGAGGGTGAAACGCCCCAAATGAGCAACTTTCAGCGGTTTTCCGGACTCTAGTTAATTCAGACTTTCGAAAAACAGCGATTTCGCAAATTTCATAACTTATTCGGAATCAGTGTCTATTCTGTATAAGATAGGCTGAGGTCGCCGACACTAGAAACGTGCCCTTGTAAGCGGGGTGTTAGTAAAGCTAAAGCTAACGCCAAAACTTACGAGTTACGAGCAGCATAAATAACGTGGAGTATACAGAACTGTGGAAGGGAGGTGTAGACTGAGTGTGAGTGTTGAGTGATGATTGGCGTGGCTCGGGACGGCCGAATATAAACATTTGGTGGGTGTTGCACGTTAGGGAAGGGGAGGAGCAGGCGATTTGCCGTGATAGGGCCAGCCCTAAAAAGCGAGAAGGAGGACACAGTCAGCCTGTGACTCGGCCCAAATATCGTCCGTCTCACCCCCAAAACGAAGCGGGGGCCGCTCGGCCTGAAACATCGGCTTCTCGCCCATATTGGACACGAAATCGATTCTTATTTCGTATTCCCGGCCACGTCTGCAGACCCTCACAAGTCGGCAGCAGACACTTTTCGGGAGGGTCATTAAAATGTGGAAATACTGGACGGGGCCGCTTCGAATGCTGCTACCGGGCTGAAGGCAAACTGGCAGCGACTTCTAGAGAATGGACGCTAGAAAACACTCCGAAAAACCGCACCTGCAGTTAGCTGGAGAAGCGTCTGTACTGGACTTTTAGCGGGGGGGGGCTTTTAACAGGGGAAACCTTATCTATATTTTTCCGCCAATTTGTTGGTACTATACAATGTATTTTTATAGTTTTTTAGCAGTTTTTGCATGCTAGAAACTAACAAAACATTATTAAAAACCTTGAAAATTCGAAAATTTTGACCATATTTAGCCATATTGCATACATTTTTCAAGCAAATTGTCAAAATTTTTGATAAGTCTTATAAACTCTTTATACCTACAACCGGTGTAAGATGCGATAAAAATTATCTATATTTCGTTATAGTTGCGCACCAAATTACCGAAAAAAATGTGGTATCCCCTTGCTAAAAGCCCTCCCCTCGCTAACTTTTCAGTACCGGATTGTCTGATTTTTACTATTTAGATATCTATAGAAAGTTCTAAAAGGCGAGAACAAGACGCAAGGCGCTTAGTTTAAAAAAAAGGTGTAGGATCGATCGGGAGTAATGATTGGAAAGCAAAAGTTGCTGGTTTTAATGATGTGAAAATCCTTCCGATCCCAGTTCCCTCCATATCGCTAGAGAGTGATACCTTTTTGGGGCACCGATTAATATTGTCTTTCCTGAATTCTGGAATATCAAGGCCACACTCCCCACCGACTGATAAGCAAATCCGTTGAATAAACCTGTACCCACACGACTGCAGATTGGGAACGGCTCAGCCACAGGATTACAAAGATTTTAGGCTGGTTGATGCTCAAGTAGTTTGAGATTCAAGTAACAAAATATTTATTTGATATCAGTGGCTAGGTTGATCTTGACGGGGAACCAGCTTGAGGACGGGTTGCTGAAGCGGAGCACGTACTCCCCTGGCTCACAGTTCAACGCGCCGAATTCAAGAACCTGCAATGTTTTGAATATTCATTTGAGATTTGGTCCTGATACCTTCAGCGAAGTGATGGTTATCCTGGGCCAGACATTCTTCTCTTTTCCGCCCTCGATCCGGATCACTTCAAAATCGATGTCACTTGATGATTCGAATTGCCAGACGAGTCGTTGGCCAGTTGTGGTACATTTTCTGAAGCGGAAGGTTTGGAACTGGGCTGTTAGCAGGGGAAAGTACTTTTCCCCAGTAACCATGTACTGTTCTATAACAAAATATAGATCATTTTTGTAGCAATGATTTTGAACCAAATTAAGAGTTATTTTCAGGTGTAAAAGGCTCATAAAAATTTCTAAATTTTCGAAAAATTTCGATTTTTTGGTAAAAATGTATGAAAATGACCAAAAAAGGTTAAAATTTTCGTATTTCAAAAATGTATAAAATAATTTTTGTAAATTGTTAGCAATCAAAAACCAATAAAAAACTTATAAAAATGCAGTACTGATTATTAACAGGTATGGGCGGAATCCAAAAGTAGTCCCCCCGCTAACAGTCCAGTACCAGAATTTTTGCTAATAAATCAATTTATTTATGTTTTCGAGTTTAGATTTCAGGGTAACGCACCGCGACACATCGTGTAGCGCTTTTGCCTTGACTGTAAATGACTTGGCTGTGGGAGGATTGATGAAGCCCTCTTCATCCCAGATATCCCGTTTCGGTGTATTAGGCAGAATCGGTAGGGCTCGATTGACACATCCTTCCGGCGGGTCCGCGAAGCCCGAACGATCGACCCAGGTCCCACCGTATGCCTTCGGAATGGCCTGAAAATTATTTTGGGCGTGAACTTGTACACCAAGTTTTGCGATACCTGAGGCTCAAGGATATTATGCAAATCATCGAGAGAACTGAGAATCGATAGCCGTGCCACCGTTGCTTCATCCATTAGTAGACGACTAACTTTGAACACGATCGACACCAATCCCGGTGGGTTTATCAGCACTAATTTTATCATCTAAAAGGCCAGTTTTTTAGCTGGGATTATGTGGTATCTTACATTTTCGGAGAAGTATTCAGCCCAAATTTTGACGACGAGGCGGGCGAGTTTGGCAGGTCCACCAAGGGGATTCATGAAATCGGCCAAGGGCAAGCCGGTCAGATCAAGGACGCAAATTACTGCTGATGGTTTGCCTAAAATTTTTTTGATGTTTTGCACCTTTTACTCTTATTTCATTATTTTTATTTCGCCGAAAATCATTTTGCCGAAATATCAATTTGTCGACACTTCTTTTTGTCGAAATTTCAAGGCCCTTGCCACCTCGATTATCCGGTTCTAACAGTTCGCGAATTGAAATTTCAGCGTGTTGATGATATGATATTTGTGCAAAATAATATTTAGCCAAGTAATATTTCGACAAACATAGTAATCTATATATATAACTAATAGCAAATCGATATACCTGTTGCATTCTCCGTCTTTGCCAAACACCGACAAAACATTTCTTGGAGCGCAAAATAACTGTGCAGCACGAAGGAGAGTGGGATGATTTTAATAATCTAAATAATTTTTAATATATTTTCTAAAGTTTACATGACTTTATATCTCGTTCAAAAAGGCTATTTCGTACCTCTTTAACATCTGAACTCTCCATCCTTTGTACAATCACATGACAATTATTCGAGCTGACACTTGGGTCCATTTTTGAGATGGAGAATCGCTAAATCAAAAATTTGCATTTTTCAAAATTTTCGAACCTCAAAGCAATCTTTTGTAATCGGCATCTTCCTCAAAATTTGCAAATCATCGAGGTTATCATATCCGAGAAGCGCTCGGTGCGTGAAATAATCTGATTTTTGAATGAGCTGAGTAAAAAAACATCGATACCTCTTAATCTGCGAATTGTCAGCTCCTCATCGCCTTTATTTCCACGGAGGAATCTGGCCAAGAAAAAGGGGGAATCGATTTGTGAGGGGACGGCGATTTTGTTCCTGTAATTTATGGTTAGAACAAGTGAATAAAAAATTTTATACTTTAATTTCTCTGCTTTCTTTAGGATTTCATCGGAGAATGGCTCGACACCTACCAACTGCTTCATTACAGAGGTCTGAAAAATAAAGATAAGGGGATGAAAATTTGCAGAAAACATTAAACAATACGATTGTTGCATTTATGAGAAATATGGTAGATCAGAGATCAAAAATTTTTAGAGTAAAAAGTGAAGAAAAAGTAGATAAGATCTAATAGAGGACCAACTCTAGGTAGTCTCAGCTGATCGCGTGCGGGGAGGGGGGAATAGCTTGTTTACCGTTTTAGCAGCCCCTGACTGGCCGGCAATCGTTGTCCTTGGCTCCGGTAAACTCTGGTCGGTTCTTTTAAAAAAGAGCTACGAAAAGACGGGGCTCTTGAAATTATTTTGAAACTGGGGGATATTTCGTAAGAACGGAAATGCGAGGAGGACAGATACCTAAGAAAGGGGGTTGGCTAGCTAGCAAAGATTTTTGCGGATAGGTTTGGGGTATATAGCCAAAATTCTTGAGGAAAATTACGACAAATCGAGGCAGCGATTACTAGCGACTAATTTTCGCTCGAATTCCTGTACGGCCCCATAACAAAAAAAACCGATTTGCATAGCAGTTTACACAGTTTTTAGAGACGAAAAGCCCATACTTTTTTACTTTTAGGTAAAAAATGTATGAAAAATGACCAAAAGGGTAAAAACTATCGAATTTTCAAAAATGTTTAAAATATTTTTTAGACTTTCTAGCAATCAAAAACTACGAAAAACACTATATTTATATGCAAGTTATTATTAACAGGTTGATCTGACAGAAAAATCCTCCTCCGCTAACCGCCAATACCTATTTTGCGGAAAATGGGATTCAGGCTGCTATATTTTCTAGGAAAATCAGTATTAGGCACGCTAGCAGAGATACTTGGGGAAGAGGAGGTAGGCTAGCAGAGATTATTGCGCATAAATAAATATAGACGTGTGCAGGCGATCGTCACGAGAAGCGATGCTAACAGAGATTCTTGTGTTAGAAAAGGGCAAGGTAGCAAATTCCTCGGCGAAACCCATTATAACAACATTTCCACCTAATTCCTGAGACCATTCAAAGATCCCACTGATTTCCGTATGTCCTTAATCAAACGCCAAAGACAGGAAATGATATATCATCACTGACAGGCCAGAAAGTTGAATGGAATTGAATGGATGATCCTGGGAAAGAGCGAAAAGACACAAAAGAAAGAGAAAAAAGTGGCGGAGGACCGGTCGGGTGATTGTGGAGATCGGTGGGAGATGGCAAGCCTTTTCCAGTCAGATATCAATGCCGTAATACGCGAAAGAATCGCTGGCATCGTAACGTTAGGAGGGTAGGGGAGGAGGAGGTTGAGGAGGACGAGGTTATGTGCGCGTCACATCCAATAAATGCCACTTTTTCCATTCTTTCTACCATACTACCCCTCTCGTCCTCCGTTCTGTGTTTGGGCGGTGGATGGAAGAGTGGAAGGGGGAGGTGTTAGCCAAATTTGTGGTCGGCCTTGACGTCCGGTTTTTTATTGCGGGTTGCGGGTTCGAGACAGAAAGTGAGCATGAGCACCAGGTGGAATAAGTGGGTTTGGGTTGCGAGAAATCAAGCTTTTGAGTAGGTTTTTAGGGTTTAAAAGATAACAGAATTCCGTGCTATCAGATTTGAAGATATATTTGGGCCAGAGTAGCAAAGGAGCGAGAGAGAGAGAGAGAGAGAGAGAGAGAGAGAGAGAGAGAGTGAGAGTGCTAGAGCAAGAGAGCGAGAGAGAGCAAGAAAGAGAGCAAGAGAGCGAGAGAGTGAGGGAGAGAGCAAGAGATAGCGATAAGCAAGAGAGAGTGAGAGAGTGATCGACGGGTGTTGAAGCTATGAAACCGCAACTAGACTTACTGTAGTCTAGCGAGAGAGAGGGAGAGAGAGTGAGAGGGAGTGAGAGCGTGAGAGAGAAAACACTTTCCTAATAACCTCTGCTAGCCACTCCTCCAAGTTTCCGTGCAAATCATCCGAAAACCGAGCTAAAAAATGGCAGGTAAACACACACAGATAGCGAACGACGAGTTGCGGCAACAGGCGGTATGTTCTGAAAGTTGTCAGCGAATGCTCATCCCTTTGCCCTCATGCCTCTCGTGCTCCTCCTCCTCCTCCGGCTCCGGCTACAGCGTCTGTTCCCAATGTCCGACCAAATCAGAGGACCGGTTCTACCGTGGCTGTACTCCCACAAAGTACGACGTCAGCCTTTCCTACTAACACGGCCGGGAGGGGTAACTTGTATGTATGTGTAATTGCTGTACCTCAAGATATCTAACCTATTTTATCTTTTTATCGTAAAATAACATGTATTTTCTTTAAGATAAGCTAGTATATAGCTAAAAAATACGCTTCCGGTGTGATCAAAAAATATAGAAAATTAGAATCGAGAACTTTATTCTTTACAAAAAACATTTTGAACATTTTGAGTCTGGCATACAGTATACGTTATACAGTAGCTTTTTGTACAGGAAAGAACGGGTTCTTTTGGACAATATATTGTTTTATCACAACGAGGCGAAAAATTGAGCGGTTGCCAGAAGATGCAAAGCAAAAAAGATTTGATATATTTGGTAGGCGAGACGTTAAAGCTAACTGATTGCTATTTGGAGGGCTGTGTTAAGGCTACGTTAGGGCGTCTATGGTTAAAAGTGTGAGATTTAGGGGAGGGAACACCAAAGGGATGAATAGATAGTAAGGAGCATGAGCTAGAATCGGAGATGTACAAGATATAATAATTTTTTTAACGAGCCGCAGTTTTCTCGCGTTTTTTGCCGGGCGGGAGCCTGGAAATCAAAGGTTAGGTCATGCTCGCTATTTTTCTATGATAAAAAGTTAGTTGTATGTATTCTTATACCTGAAAGAAGTCCTCAATCGAGCCAACTCCTCCGAGAAAAGCTCCCCATTCTGGAGCGCGAAGATCAGTTGCTCAAAGTCGCGCTCCTTCTCCTTCTTGCGGCCTAAAGCATCGACTTTTAGAGGAGTATTTTTGTGTTTTTCTACCGCGCCACGGACTACTGACCTACCAATAAGCCGAAAATTCTCTGCAAAAATGCTTTCATATTTTTAAACACTAGAAAATGGCTTAAGAAGTCGACTTACTCTTCTTTGCGAAGTAAGACCGAGCCAGAGTTTGCCGTTTTCGCGTCTCTTCTTCTTCTTGCTCTCTCCAGATTGCGTGATGGGCTTCGGTAAATGATGTAAGCCACTTGGCGAATACTGTAATTATGTAAATTAACGATATCTTATACCAAAATGGACTTTTTCTTAGTTTTAAAGATATGGCGACATCAACTCACCCGAAAATATCTCATCCGGAGAAGCCTTCTCATCAAAGCAGAACAATTTCGCGCACGAGGCAAGCTGTAATAACTTGTAGTTTATAGCCCCCAGTTTCCATTACAAACCTTTCCCTTCATCTCGGCAAACAGAGCCTCTAAGTTCCGGAACTCATTGGTAGCCGAGGTAATGAATGATTTTGCGGCTTCGTCGAACCTAGGATTTTGCTGATCTGAAATTTTGAGCACGAGTACCTGTCTTCCTCCGGCTTTGTCAAATTCTCTTTATCTTCCTCCCCTTCAGCCAACGTACAATTCTTCGCACGGGCCAATTCAGAGCGAATGAATCCGATGGATTGTTCGAGGGATCGGATCTCGGCTGCCACTTCTTCTTTGCTAAAAATTGGATTGGTTTGTAGATGTAATGTTTAAGATTTACTCTTCATTATAAGTTAAATAAATTACTCACTTAAACCTCGAAGCTTCATACACGCAGTTGAGCTCGCGTTTGAGTTTCACCAGGTCTGGGAATTTACGCTCGATTAGCTAAAAATAATGGAGTTTCGAGGCAAGATTAAACCGTACTTGAGCAATATAATGCTGTAGATTTCGATCGCCTCTGGTAGCGTTACGGACTTGGTTCAACGAGTTCAAGGAGTGCATTGTGAAGCCTAAGCGGATTAATTATACAGACTTTCATAGATACCATGAGCATTTCCGTTCCGTTTCCCCTGATTCAGGTAGTTTCCAATGGCGAGAACTAGAGCGAGATATTGACGAAGTCGCTTGTTGCTGCATAGAGCTTGGGATGTTAGGCAGATGGCTAAAATAAAGCTAAAAATTACGGTAGTTCTGGATACCTTGAAGGGCTGGGGAAAGGAGTTCGATGCGTTCTTTGAAAGATCTGATGATGTGGAGGCATTTAAGGCGTTGTTCGAATCGGGGGATTCTGAAAAATGGGGTGCAAAGTATAATGTATTTTTTGTTAAGGCATATAATTAGCATAAGCACTTACTGGGACACTTCATACAAATATCGATCAGCCAGAGCTAAGCATGTTGGTGTCTTGAAGCGAGCTACAGTCTCCGCAAGTTGCTGCCCTTCCTCCCGAGTAGGAAGGAATTTTAGCATCTAGACCAAATAACTAGATATCAAATTTAAATCACCTGCTCGATCATATCTTTCGGAATTCTTCCCTTATCATCCATGCTCAACAAAACGTTGCGCAACTCCCGGTTGGTCATCTTCAGCTTCGACAGCATGATCGTGCAATTTTGGGCCTTGCGTGAGTCAATTACCGATATCTAAAAGTTGTATTGAAAAATGCTACCCCCGGAAGTGCGATACCTCTTCTCGATGTTTCCTCGAAATACTGTAACCCATCACGCTTTCGTTATCGTCGTCTTTATGTGATGTCGACGCAGCAAAAAGGGTCGACAGTTCTTCAAGATCAATCTAAAAAAGAAATTTTAAAAAGAAAATCTACGACTAACGTGCTTGTACAATTTCTCGTCATCAGCAAATTCCCATACAGTGCCCTTCAGCTTATCCTTGGAGATCTAAATCATCGTTTATTTTAGAGTTTAGCAAAAATTACCTTGTTCCAATTGACAGTCCTGGTATCGGACTTCCGGGGCGGGACATTCTTTTTGGCGTCTTCGGTGGGCATTGGCAGCTTGCCAAAGAGAGGAGGAGGAGGGGGTGGGGGAGGAGGAGCTGCGATTGGAGGGATAACTGGTGGTAGGGTGTCTAGGCAGGCTGAGGATGGTCGAGATGGGCCTGGATCTGATGGGGAGGTCGAGAGGTCGGAGGTTCTAAAAAAATAAGAGTAATTTTTTTAACATTGTAGCGGAATGTATAGCAGTAGTTCGAGCTCGACCGTCAACTCCTTGAACATGCCTTGATAAAGTCGATCTCCCATCGTGCATATCAGAAAGCCGATTCTCAAGATCAACGACCCTCATCCTCTCCGCTTCTAATTCTTCTCTCAGCCGCTCATGCTCCCTCTCCAGCGTCTCGTACTCGCATTGGGTGTGAAGCCTAGAAAACTGGATTCCCAGGAATCCGGTGCAGAACGACCTGGAGATGATGTCATTCATGTCGACGGTGCCGGTGAGGGGTTGATGAACATCGGTGATGCCGTTGACGGTTGTTTGGAGGGTTAGGTGTTGGAGGAGGAGGTCGAAGAGACGCCAAAGGGGAATGTGTTTTTCATCGCATGGTACCTTAAATGAAGCTTTTTACGAGAGAGATGGAGAACGAAATGAGGAGAGCGAGAAACCGTCAGAAAAAGCGGCAATGGAGAGCGAGAGTACAAGAGAGAGTGAGAGATAGCGAGAGATAGAAAGAGAGAGTGAGACTGGCCGATTGACAGAGTGATAGTGGGAGAGTGGGTGTGAGCGTGAGAGAGAGAACGAGAGGGACAGAAGGAGCAAGGTATAGAGAGAGACAGCTAGAGAGAGCGAGAGACAGGGAGAAAGATAAAAAGAGAGAGCAAGAGGTAGGGAGACAGTGAAAGATAAAGAAAATAATTCCGAGTAATTTACCATAAACAAATGCTGCAGCAAGCTGGCAAAATGTGGTAGAGCCACCGTAGAGCTGAGCTTGTTCTGCAGAGCCTCAGCCATCCCGACGACGTTATCAAAATCGACCGGAGATGATGCTCCCGAGTCGTCCGACACCCCGCTAAAAAGCGCAATTTTTAAATTCAATTATTAGTACAAATAAAAATTATTAGTGCTAAAAACCTATTCAATCCCCTAGAAATGACCGTTCCAATTGTCCCTCCAAGCGAACGGTCATTCCCTTCCTTTCATTCCATCCCCTTGACCGTCATAAACTCGGCGGTCCCCACCCAACCCCCTTTTTCAGACCATTTCAATACGAAAAAAGTGGCTCCGTCCTCCTTGCCGGGACACGCAAGTTGTAAATTTAATTGGACTTCCTTCCCCCATTCCTCCCTCGTGGTGCCGCCACGATCCCTATCTGCCCGCCATTGAGGTAGGCCGCTCAGGAATTTGGTACTCACCTGATGCTCAGCTCATCCTCTTTTCGCATCATCTCAAACAAATCGAAGTGATCGTCGAGGCGTTGGGAGGCGTCGCCGCGGCATGAGTCTATTACCTAATAATGAGGGTCATTTGGGACCGCTGAGGGGCTGTGAAAGATTTTTGGGGGAAACGGACAGACTGTGGCGAGCCAGCAGAGATTCTTTGCGAGCAAGCCCAAAAGGCTGGTAAACCAGCAGCGATTCTTTTGAAACAAGTTCGACCAGGCAAGCTAGCAGAGATTTTTTGGAGCAACCACGGCCTAGCAAGCTAGCAGAGATTCTTGGGGAGCACCGGAACCCAGAAAATCAAGAAAAACCAACCTCCTGCACGCCCTGCAGCAACAGCTCGTACCGTAGATGCGTGCGGTATTCGACGGAATTCTGAAAAAACGGCTGTTCGTTATTAGTACAGTAAGGGACAGTGGGATGTGGATAGTCTGACCATCGAGGGGAGGGGAGGGGATCACATTTCGGAGGCTATAGGGAGGGGCAGACGGAGCAATTCGTCAAGCCTCTCTGCTAGATGCCCCCGGTCCCGTTTGGATGCAAATCCGGTGATGGATGCGTCCAAAACACGGGATGAAGCAGTAAGGAACTAGATTAATATTTGATTGGGGGTTTTTTTTGGGGGCGTGGGGAGGATAGTGTAGTCTTAAAGTTAGAGTTATAGTTTTAGTTTTAAACGTACTAGGAAGTCCTGATGGGTTTAGAAATACCAAGTTTAGAGCTTTTAAGTTTCGTAATCAAAATCCTAGCATTCGTCTAGAGGTTGTAGTCTAATTTATACTGTTAAAGGAGCCGAGAAGTTGAACTTTGGAGGATTTAACCAAGAATTGATTCTCGTTTAAGTTAATCCTTAAATGGCATTTAAATGTAAGTTTTTTAACCGATATTTGTAAGGACAGCCCATTGGCGAAAAATAGAACTAAAAATCAAGAAATTAACGAGCATGGATCTTTAAAAATTTTCAACTTTCTTTCCTGAACCTTTAAAGTTTAAAATAAAGTTTAAAATAGAGATAGAGGCTAGAAATTCCGAAAATTGCAAATTAAGCAATAAATCAGCGAGAATTGCCCCAAAACAAGGATGGGGTGTATATGAATGGGTGCGAATGTTTGTGCGCGGGTTGAACATGGAGATGTGATATGTCTCTCACCCCCGCACCCTTCTTATCGGGGCATTCGAGGGGGGAAATCCGAGACGAAGAATCGGGGGTGGTGGGAGGAATAGGGTAAAGGGGATATGGGTATGAGTGTTGTCCTTCATCAAATATATACCCTTAATTAAAGGAATTTTACGTTGAAAAATTAGCATATAAATCTGCTAATGCAGCATATTAAACAGCAATTAAATGAAACATTCACCTCCCAATTTTTAGCAAAGACTGTTTCCTAACGTATGGATCGTGTCCGCGCTCGGCGAAGGGGGCCTGCCCCCGTCTTGATTGCAGTGGTCTGTTGGGTCAATGGTTTCGTGCTCGCTTGCCACGCACAAGGCCCGGGTTCGACCCCCGACCTTGACAAGCTTTTTGCTTTTTCTTAAAAAGCTGGGAGTTGGATGTTTCTTTAAGGCATGTAAATGGGTTTTCCCTTTGGAAAATCGAAAAATGATCATTAAAGGTATTTTAAAGTGTAAAAAAATACGCTCACTCACCTCCGAAGGTCCGGTACTCAACAACGCATTTATCAAGCCAATCGCCGCCGTCCGTACACGATCTGTCTGCCGATCGCACGAAAATGTTCGATGCAGCGCCTCGAGCAGCTTCTGGAACCGGATACGCTCGCCCATCAGCTGCGAAGCCTGGAAGAAATGTTGCAAATATGTTTCCAGAGCCCTTATGAAGCATCTGCCCTTGGGGGGATACCTCTCAAATATGCAAATTCGCAACGCGGGGCGAAAGTAGGGGGAGGCGGCGAAATGGCAAACACGGCCTATCGGGTATACAAAAGGTTTCTAGGAAAAGGCGATTGTAGGGCCTAGTTTTAGGGTCAAATGGGCCGGAACACCTCGAGAGCTTCATTTTACGGCCGGGTATATTGGTTTTTCGGGAAAAGTTTGGGCGCGTGGCGGTTTAAAGGGATTAGCAAGTCAAGAAAACTAACCACAACTTACTTTTTCCGCATAGAAACTAATTACAGAACCAAATTTTTGCATAGAATTATAGAGGGCCATTGGTAGGTTTAAATTTCTAGATTTTAGATTCAATGAAAAATCGGGGGAATGACTGATTCCTGTTGTGGTAGATTACAGTATATTTTGGCTGGGGGAGGAAGTTTTGAAACAAAGGTGACCAAAACACGGTTAGGGAGACAATTAAAGTTGGTGGGAATCGTTCGGAAAGTAAAGTAAAGGGCCTATTTTAATTTTGTCAAAATGTAGATTGTTCTAAATTTCAATTTGTCGGATTTTCGAAATCTCGACAAAAGGATGCTTCGAAAAACCATATTCCGGCAGAATAAAATTTTGTGAAACTAATTGCTATTAAAAAAAATGAAATAATTTTACTAAACTCACGTCCGTGATCGCAGTTAGCACTTTTCGATGTCCAATTTCCGGTACGAAACAAAGTCCGGACAGCACTTCAGCGGAGACAACCTGAAATTTTAAATCTAGAGATTTTAAAATCTATTTAACGCAATGCACCAATTAGTACATAAGAGCCACACGTGGTCGTAGGGTCGAGGAGCGTGGCGTCCCCGCCCGTAACAACAATGCGCTCAATGGCGTTGTTTACTTTTTTCCTGTACGCTGGACTACTACCTCCGGTATCAATGACCCCCCATAGACCCACGCTCAATTTGCACCCCGGTGTCCCCGCGAAATAATAACGGAATATTATAATGGGATACGCTATTCGGGGAGACCTAAAAATAGCAAATAAAACCAACTTTAAAATGTATAAAAATTTATTAAGACAATTTTAGAACCTAGGGGAGCTAGCAAAAACTATTTTGGAAGCAAGCTAACGTATTTCCCCGTCGTAAAACCATTAAATTATTAAAAAATCGTTTGAAAATTTATGAAAAAAATATCTCAGACATTTTAGAACCTAGGTAAGCTTGCAGAGTATCGGAGATATTCTAAAAAGCTTTGCAAATCCGGGCAAGCCATTAGAAACTACTTAAGAAACTGCTTATCTGATTCCATGCCCCCTTAGCAATCGGCATACCAAAGAATTGATCTAACACCACATTATGGATTTTTGGGAGTCTCCAAAGCCTAGGCAAGCTAGCAGAGACCGCTTAAAAAACTAAATACCCCGTTTCCGGCCCTACCAGGCAATAGCCAACCCGCAGATACTGATTCAGAACCACGCAGCCGCTCCTGGCCACTCCCCGCCGTTCCGGCCAATATTTTGTGACGACACAAACCGTCTGTCCTAAGCCGCTATTGGTCAATGTTTGAGCATATGATGCCAGAATTTTTGTACAAAACACCTGGCAATCCATGTATTTAAAACTGGAAAAGATAAAAAATACGGAAGAGCTTTATGGAAACTAGAGCTTTTGCCTACAGCTAGTGAATGGGCTCCAAAGGGAAAGCTAGATGGGGATGATTGCTTTACACGGTGACCATAGTCAATTTGTTTTTAGACCATCTTCTAGAAAGTGAATCCGGCCCCAACTTTCTCTTTTAAAGGGCCTGGACGGTACTACTGTCATGCTCATCCTTAAAGAGAATTGAGCTGGATTCCCAATCTAAACGCGCAGTGGTCGTTCTCCTAGTGAAATACAGAGCTCCCGATGCTAGAAAATCCAAACACAACCTTGCCAGCTCCTTGAAACCCACAAAAGCTCACCTTAGCCTTCGGATCTGAACACTCGATTGAAGCCGCGATATTCCGAAGTGATTCCGGACAGTCGAGAACGGCTTGACGACCCGACTACAATGAATACAAACTCGTACTCGCTCCAAAATGCTTACCGAAGAGTTGAGCAGCGCCCGGAAGGCCGACAGAAAGAAAAAGGTGAAGTCAGATCGGTCTTCGCACCTAGAAATAGCAACGGGAGTATACCCGAAACGAAAAGGATACCAGGAAAGCCTCAGGAGTTGACTGAGCAGGGCAACACCACCTTCGGCAAGAAACGAGTGGACGAAGCTGTAAATAGGAAGGTTTTGAAATGTAGTGTTCGGGTTTAGGCGGGGGTTATAGGGCGCGTGATAGAGCGAGATGGAGAGAGAACGTCAAAGAGAGAACGAGAGTTATAGAGAGAGAGAGAGAGAGAGAGAGAGAGAGAGAGAGAGAGGTGGAGCTAAGGAGAGAGAGCGAGAGACAGAGAGAAAGAGAGAGAGAGAGCGAGATCCCGAGAGAGAAGGAGAGAGAGAGAAAGAGAGAGAGATCCCAAGAGAGAGAGAGAGAGAGAGAGAGAGAGAGAGAGAGAAAGAGAGAAAGAGGGTGAGAGAACGAGATCCCGAGAGAGAGATCAAATGAGAGAGATAAAGAGAGAGAAGAGAGAGAGAGCTAAAAATATTTGATCTTTTCTAACTTGTCAATCCATATAAAATCCCCTGTATAAAATCCAACGTTCGCCTTGACTTTAAAAAGATCAGATTCCCTGGGCCCCGGGCCATGTTGCCTAATGGCCATTTTAGGGGGGCGTATGTGCCCTGGGGGTATGAAATGGATGTGGATATCGCGGTCCCCCAACCCCCCGGCACCCTTTATCCGCACCATTCCCTGCCAATCACGCGATGGGCCACAAATCGTGGGGTCCCACCACGATAAATGGGTCCTGGGGTAGCCGTCCAGCTGTGTGACCAATTGTCATTAAAGGGGTTCGGAAGGGAGGAAAGAATAGAAATGGGTACTGTAGTTTCCATAGGAAAGCCGACGCGTTGCTCAATTCTTCTTAAATTGTATTTATAATTTAAAAAATGTGAATAAAAGCACTATTTTTGGGTTTTACTGGTACTATTAAGTGTTTTTCATACCGTAAAAGCTTAAAAACCTAAAAAACTGGTGCAAAAATTATCAATATTACTGCGAATTTTTTTGTATTACGGTCGGTGAAAAAAACAAATTTAGAAAATATGATATATAAAAACGGTATTGTCAAATGACTTGCACAAGTTTTGCCTCATACCGCTACCAGCAGCCAGTACTCCCACCCCCGATTTCCCAACGCGCAATTTTGCACCCGTCCCGAGTTTCGCAACGGAACACACCGAGCTGTGTCATCCCCTAGACAATGTTTGCCAAAAAATCGGGCCCCACGGAACAAGCATGAATATTTGATAACGAGGCTTGGAAAAAATTGCGCAATAAATGAGAAATATACCTATTATCCTGGGTCCTGAGCGCAATCACCAGATCTTGTAAAAATTCGACGGCTTCGCTGTTGAGTTGTTCGGGGAACGCGTCGGCGTATCCCCGAAGTTTTTGTAGGAAACGGGAGCTGTTGTATTTCGTGCGGATCTGAAAGTTACGGTATTACTGTACGACTTATATAAGAGGAGAGGTTTTCCTGAAGGCATTTTAATCAGCTTAAAATGTTGTATTCTAAAAGATGGGTAATGGACTGTTAGCGGGGGGGGGGTTTGCACGGAGAAAACTAATTTTTGATTTTTTGGCCTAGGACTACCTGCTAAAACAATATTGTATTTTTATAACGGTTTTAGTAGGGTTTCTTGCTGAAAAGCTACAGAAAATGTTTTAAACATTTTAGAAAATTCGAAAACTTTGGCCTGTTTTGTTCAGTTTTCATATAATTTTGACCAAAAAGTAAAATTTTGGAAAATGTTTGTAACTATTTTCTGAGCTTTCACTAGTTTATATATTCCTATAGAATAGTACAGGATTAATGTTAAAAATCGTTCCCCCCGCTAACAGCCCAGTACCACCAATAGTGCCAAAAAAACGAATTCTAATTGTGACCACGATCTCTGAAGATATCAGCTTTACTCAAAACGCACCTATCCTACCGTACCCCCAGAATATGGCCCCAAACGCCCACAAGCAGTTCGAAGCCGGGATTTGAGACTAGCTAGCCGACTACCCGTCGCGGGGCTGGCCGCCCGTTTTTTGGATGGCTAGATTTTTTGCCGACGGCCGAACCTCATTGTCGCCCACATTTCACGGCGCATTTTACGGGGCGGCATCATTCTGGGAAAGTCCCTTCTCATCCACCCCGCGCTCGCGGGGGCTGGCTGCTGCTCCTTGCTACGCACTACACCACTTTACGCCCTTATCACGTTATGGTAGAAAAAGGAGGGGGGGGGGGGCGAGCGGTCAGTTGGCGGGAAGGAGAAGCCATTAAAGGGGATGGGGGAGGGGCATTAATAGATAACTGGATAGCTTATAGAAATAAATAAAAATGCTAGGTATGTAAAAATTAGGATAAAATTTATGTATTTAGACCTAGATAGTTTTATAGGTGTTTAAAATGGATTTTAAAACACTACGAGCTCAGTTTCGAGCATTATTTACTATATTTGAGTCAAAGTGTGGATCTGGACGCATTAAGAGATACCTTTAAAAGCTTCGACAAACTACTTCTATCTACAAAAACTGAAATCTCTTTGAATCCGTTAGTAGATGACTTCACTAGCCCTTTAAAGCTAAAATAAAGCGTCTGAAAATTCAAACTAGTAAGAGTAAATTAATAGATACTTACAATAGATAACTATTTTAAAAATAGGAAAAGCTTACTTTAAATCATTTAATGGCCTTTTAAAAGAAAACTGAAAACTGTCGATGCCGTAAACATAAGGAGCTTCATAATCAATACCTTTAAATAATAGAATTTCTCTCAGAATGGTATCTTAAAAATATATGTAATACAGTGCGTATCAAAAAGATAGAGCCACTTGGTTTTTCACCTTTAACTTCGCGCTGTCGTATTTTCCAGCCCAGCTAAGCATACACATCTTGTAGCCCTTGAAAAGACGCATCTTTCTGTGTAGTCGAAATTTTCTATGATCGATATTGCTTTTATGATGAAAACAAGCAATGAGCCAAAAACACAGTACAAAGATAGAGCCACAATTTGCATCCACTTTACATGCGCTTTGAGCTTGCAAATTACATGGTAATTGTCATGCAAATCGTTCGCCTCACTCAAATCAACAAAGGCCGCAGAAAAATTTGATTGAATAGTAGCAATAAAAAAGATAATAATTTATTAAGTGTTCGTTTCATTTGCGCGCTTAGAAATGGTTAGAGCGATCAAATTTTTCTGCGGCCTTTGTTGATTTGAATGAGGCAAACGATTTGCATGACAATTACCATGTAATTGCAAACTCAAAGCGCATGTAAAGTGGATGCAAATTGTGGCTCTATCTTTTTGATACTTGTGTTTTTGGCTCTATTTGCTTGTTTTCATCATAAAAAGCTTAATATCGATCATAGAAAAATTTCGACTACACAGAAAGATGCGTCTTTTCAAGGGCTACAAGATGTGTATGCTTAGCTGGGCTGGAAAATACGACAGCGCGAAGTTAAAGGTGAAAAACCAAGTGGCTCTATCTTTTTGATACGCACTGTATAGCTAGAGATGCTACAACCCACTAGCTTTAAAGGAAAGGCCTGACCCGCCTTCAGGTCAAGCTGTCAGCAACGGTTGATGGTGAAATATGGAAATGAGTCGACTGGGTGCGCAACGATGGATGAGACCCCGTCGGAGGGCATATGCAAATCCAGCCGTTCACTTTCTCCATCCTCCCTTCACTCTCGCCCTCTGTTCAAAGAAGTGATATCGGGGGTGCCGATTGGATGGGGCGATGGCGGATATTTACCCCCGAGCATCTTCATCCACTCGTTCCCTAAGGCTTCTCCCCCGGAAGTTCTGCAGGGGCCAGAGATTCGAGTGCGATTGTTGGGTACTTAGAGTGTTTGGGGGTATTTAGGGGGTAATAATAAGGGGATTTCATGATCTCGATGGAATAGGAGTTTGGAAACTGACAGGGAAGTTTTATAAACCTGTTCGTCAGAACGTTTTTCTCTCCCTAATCCTCTCCCTCTCATGGTCTCACTCTCTCGCTCTCACTCTCTCTCTCTAGCTCTCTCTCCCCTCTCTCTCGCTTTCTCTCTTTCTCTCTCTTTCTCTCTCGCTCTCTCTCCCTCCCTCGCTCTCTCCCTCCCTCGCTCTCTCTCTCTCCCCTCTCTCTCGCTCCCTTCCTCTCTTTCTCTCTCTCTCTCTCCCGCCCTCTCTCTCCCTCCCTCTCTCTCACTCTCTCACTCTCTCTCGCTCTTTCTCTCTCCATCTCTCTCGCTCTCTCTCCCTTCCTCGCTCTCTCTCAGTTTCTCTCTCTCTCTCCCTCTCCCTCTCTCCCTCTTTCTCTTTCTCTCGCGATCAAATGAGCAACTTAACTCGAAATGTTTGAAAATGCGCCGTGAAATCAACAAAACTAACAATTAAAGAATTGTCGAATCCCAATCGATTACGCAATAAAATGTTTTCGTGTATTTTGGAGCTAAACTTCTTAATAAGAACCCACCGCATGTTTATGCAACATCGAAATCTTCTTCTCGCGCGATTGGCTGAGCATTTCGTCCTGTTTCTCTGGCGGTAAGTCGAGCTCAGCCTAAACCCGTGATTTTTCTTAGATAAGTTTGCTTACCAAAAATCGTTGAAAAGACTTGTCGAGTCTTTCATCGTCGGCAAATTCGAGGGGATCAAGTTCGGTGACCGGGATCGGGACCGCCGGCTGGAAATCAGGGGTTTTGCTTAAAAGGGATGGGACAGGGAAGTTACAAAAAAATCTATTAAAGGTATCAAGATTTCGCACTCGTTGCGAAACTTGGCAATTTTGTTTCTGCACAATACACGACAGAACCTTTCTTACGACAAAACTTTTAGGTGGTTAGGCGACTCTATGAAAGACGTCTCCCCAGCCTCTCGCTATATCTCTCCTCTGCTAAATGTTCAAATACGCTAACAATAAACAGCAAGTTTTTAAAAAAAACAAAATGTAAATCAGCTTCCCACTTTGGTTACTCGTATTTAACGAGTAACCTATCGGATCCGATTGCCCACGTTATTGGGGAACCACGATGTCCCTGATTTACCACCATTCGCAGTGGCAGGGCGGGGGTCGTGACCCGGGGCAATTGAGAGCAATTTACGTAATCGTAGGAATTATAATTTCATATTAAAAAAACTAACCTCTTTATCCCTGTCCTTATTAAAGCAGGACAGGGCCCTGTCGACCCAATCCTCCCAAAACATCTTTCTGGGGCAGATCCCCGAGGGCAATCGCTTCGAATCGATCAATCACGCAGTCGTTCTTTCTAAAATCTATCAATAAAACTTAATGAAGTAAATGTAAATTTAATAAAGCGAATAAAGCGAACAAAATTCGTGTAAAAATCGGTGGTCGACCTTGGAGAGGGGGTTGGATTCGGAGAGCCAAGGAATGCGGGGGGAACGTTGCTAATTTCCGAAAAAATTGGCATCCAAATCAGGTCAAGCGGCAGTGGAAAAAAGGGCCGGGGGCTTGAAGAATTATGGGAGGTAGAGGACGGAAGGGATTTAAAAATTCATTTTGGATACTTCGGGATTATAAAAGGATTAGATTAATAAAATAATTAAAATTTACTGACGCTCTCCCTTTAAAACCAGATTTTTCTCCAAAAATCATAAAAATTCTGGTTAATCAGATGATATTGTACTAATTTAGTTGTAAAAGGTAAAAACCAATTTGCAAAAAAATCGCGGTTACACCCAAATCGAGGGTTGACTCCCCCCGAAAAAATGCGCGCTGTAAAAACCGGGGGCTGTGATCATGAGCATGATCATGATCCGTGAGAGGAAAACAAGTATAAATTGATTCCAGAATGAAGATCAAAGCAGATCGAACGGCGGGGAGAGAGAGACTCGAGAATGGAAAGGATGTGAAATGGAAAGTCGCGGAATAGGGTGGATGATGAGGAGCATCAGATATATTGACAGAACGGTGATAAGGAGGGTGGATGTAACAGGGGGAGAGCAAGAAGGGAGAGAAGGTCTTTATAGGTATGTAAAATATAGCTGATCTAGAAACATTGAGACCAAAAAGGGAGAGAGAGAGAGCGAGCGAAAGAGTGCGAGTGAGAGAGAGCGCGAGAAAAACGAGAGAGAGCGTGTGAAAGAAAAACGACAGAAAGCGAGAGAGAGAGAGAGAGAGAGAGAGAGAGAGATACGGAGAAAGAGAAGGAACGTGAGAGAAGGTTAAAGGAAAGTTTCGGAATAGGGCGAATAACTTCAGTTATGCTGACAGAACGGCGGGAAAAAACGGGGGACGGGAAAGCGAGGTGCGATCCTTTAAAGGCATGTAAAAATTCGGCGCAAATGCAGAGAGAGAGAGAGAGAGAGAGAGAGATGAGAGAGAAAGAGAGAGAGAGTGAGAGAGAAAGAGAGAGAGCGAGAGAGAGAGAACAACAAAAAATTCCAGCTGAATTTTACAGGCATGAACTCCTCTCAATATTGTCAACATAACACAAGTGAAAACCAGACGACTTTCCCGCGATTCGAACCGGACGTGGTTTGACATGAGGGGGGGCGATGAGGGATAAAGGGCGGTTGGGAAAGGATAATATTGGTGTATACCAGGAGGGGTGGGCTCAGCGGGATATGTCTGTATTCAATCGCCCTCCGCCTGCCCGGCCCGGGAAGTGGGACACTAGGATTTATCGCCCCTATAAGCCAACAGCCAGCCATCGCCTAATGGAATAGATATTTGCATATCAGGGCAGAAGCTAAACTTTGGAAATTATCAAAGCAAACTCTTTTTTACTTATTCAAAAATTTTAGTTTCCTCAGAAACTAAATTCTAAATTAGAGTATCAAAATTCCGCATAGGAAAATAAAATAAAAACACGTGCCAAAATCCAGGAATGTCAGGCGCCAGTCGTCAACCCGGGGCATCAGTGCGTGACGAAAGAAAATATCAACAGGAGCTAGTCATTTTCGGAGCGCCATTCTTTTAGAAATAAAAGAAAGGATGAAAATAATCGAATTTCCTTGGTTCCGATAAATGAATCGAATTCTGGGCGCTCAAACGAGCACCAGGCAAAAACACCATTTTTTAGAATTTTGAAATTTGCATAAGCTGCTGGATTTTCCGGAGTTGTTAAAATAGGTTCAGTCTACGGAAATCAGTATTCTAAAAAGTTTGAGACTATGAAAGTCTTCAAATCCCAAAATTCGTGAGTTTGAAAATGCAAGGTCATGAAATATAGACATTCTGGTGCTAGACTGTTAGCAGGGGGTATTTAACAAAAGGGAAAAGGGAGTTTACCCAGTAATCCTGTACGGTCCTAGAACAAACTATACACCATGCGTATGGCATTTTATCCGGTTTTTACAGATAAAAGTCGACTTTTAAACAACCCGAGGATTTTTGAATTTTTGGAAGAAATCTCTGAAAATGACGAATAGGTTCAAGATTTTTGAATTTTTAGCATTGTTTAGCATATTTTTTGTTCCTGGCAACCAAAAGCTACTAACAACGGTATAAATACAGTATTTATAAAAACCAGGTAATTATAGACGGAAAACAAAAAATATTTCCCCTGCTAACACGACATTCTGATGTTGTAGCTTCAGATAGGCAACAACAAAACGGCACGGCGTGAGATTTCGAAAATGGCTATCAAGCGAAAGCTCATCATCAATGTGATAATAGGTGAAAAATGAGTGGCTGCCAGCCCCGGGGGCGGTTTCGTTTCGTTCATTGGATCGTCCGAATTTCGCCCGTACCAGAGGCAGTGCGTTTGGGGCGTGTGGCAGATCGCTGGAGTGGATTATGCAAATCCGGGCGTAGCCATCGGCACACCGAAAGCGCCTCTCCCTCACCCTATCCACCCCCACGGGGGGGCTCTCCATTTTTTGGTGTGTGCATTTTTTGACCAAAACAGGTCGGATCAACGGCTAGGGGGATGGGGGGGGGGTGCGCATGAAAATTGGCGGTGGTAAATCGAGTATGTCCCCCGGTTATGGTATGAGTTTTTCGGGGGGTGTCACGACAAGAATCAAGAAGTTTTTGGCTTGATACGGATTAAAGGGCTAAAAATTCCGGAATCGAATTTAACTAGAGTGATTTTGCCTTCAGAATCCCTTTAAAATACGGTATCTTATCCCGAGCTAAAATGTTGAGCCTTGGAAAACTTTAAATAAAATATTTTATGGTTTTTTTCATGCAGAAATATACCTTTAAATTATATTTAATCTATTTAAGTTATAAATTATCGTATTTTAAGTATATAGAGATGACATACAAAAATATCTACCTAAAAATAAATAGAGATTTATCAAGAGATTTTCTCACTTCACAAGCCCTTTAAGGCAGGTGCGGAAAATACAACAGTTTCGGAAGTCGGACCCCATAAAAATTAAATTTTTCGACTACTAACTGCTCCAACTCGCTAAAGATGGTGAATCCATAAATCTTTCACTTCATAACCCCTTTAAAAGGCCCAAAATTACCATCAAAACCTATTCAAAAAATTCTAAATTGGTAACGACATAAAAATTCAACTAAACGCCCAAGACCCCACTACCAAAATCCAAAGTTGCCGCCCCATTCATGCCAGGGCCAAATAGAGACCAAGAGGCCCAAGAACTGCCAAATATTGGCCCCCAAATGTGGCCCTCCTAAGTCCACACCCTGTTTTTGCTGCCTTTGGCAGTAAGTTGGAGTTTTCAACCTGGAAACCCCCAAAAAAAATTAATAAATCAACCCGATTTCGTGATAAATTAGATAAAAGGAACATCATAGGGGGAGGGGCAACCTGTAAGCAAACAACCGGTGACCCGGTCAGTGTTGATAAGGGTTAATTGCAAATGTTTGAAGAAAATATTGCTTTGAGAAGAAAAATATTGGCATTGTCGTGCTGCCAAAATTACAGCGCAAAATTTAAATAGGTTATGTAAACTAAATCGTAGCTTGAAAGGGTTGAAAATCAAACTTTGACCAAAACATTAAAAATACCGGGTTTTTTTATTTTTGCTTTTCCATTTTTATCTTATTAAATACACGGAAAAACTAATAACAATTATTATATGGGAGAATAAAAAAATATACGATGCTATTCTTATTAAAATGTAAATTTAAAAATCAGACAAAAATAAAAATTTTCAGATTATCAGTAGGAATGGATAAATTTGGAAAGCGGCGTGCTAAACCAAAAAAAATCCAAAAATTAGCGTTAAAGGGATGGTACCGCGAAATTAGCATAAATACAGCAACAAGAAACATGAGAAATTTTTACGCCGGCTTACAGGAACGTTGCGTTAAGCTAAAAACTCGCAGATCATTGTAGAGCAGGGTGTGGCCAGCCGTTGTCCCCCCTATATCTATCGCAGAAGGTCATATGCAAATGTCGAGAATAGAGGCATTAGGGGGGTGAAGGGCTATTTCCCTTTAAAGGTGCCGTCTCGGCTTAGGTCCCCCTTTCTGTCCCCCATCAAGGTCTTCTGACTATTGTCTCCCATTCAGGTTCTTGCTCACCCTTTTTGGGTGGTGGGTATGAGGAGGGGGGTTAGGGGGGCTGTCACCCGTAATTTACACCAAGCCACAATCCCCGCTTTTAGAAAGGTTGAAGGCCAGTAGAGGGGGAGGGGTGTTGTTGGATATTAAAGAGAATTGAGGAAAAAAATTGGGGGATTTTCAAGGTTAACGGCAATGGGGGCAGATAGTAGCATTTGGAAGGTAGTAAAAGGTAGGAAAACATGGGATACTGTAAAAATATGAAAATTCCATTATATGACATTAAAAAGTTGCGAAAAAACTATCTCATGCTTGTTATTAGGAAGCTTTTGAAAGCCAAGCTTCAAGAAAAACTGAAAATGCAGGAAAAAGCATTTTAAATTTAGAATTAAATATTGTAAGAGCCTCCCCAGCTAGGCCCCAGGTTTGCAAACACGCACTCCATCATCTCTTCACCCATTCCAGGTCAACCCGGCCCGCCAGGGGCAAAAACCGTTGTGCGGCCCCTCCGGGGGCGGGGGCACAAAAGATTCTAACCCATAAAATATCTCAAGCGGCTAGGGTGGCCGAGTTTATTCAGTAACAGTTTGGCCCGAAAAGGGTGAATGTGTTTTCTTGGGTTTATTTAAGGCTTAGTTTAGGCTTAACTTAAACTTAGCTTAGTCTTAACTTAGGCTTAGGAAAAGGAGAAAGCGAAAAACTCCAATTCCTAAATTTCTCCCTAGGCGAGAGTATAGTAATAGTTTTGCACGGGAGCGCG